CAATACAGTAGTGCACATGTGCGTGCACACACACAGCTATTCTTTTGTTCTTTAATTTGCATTTCTTCTAAATACTGTTTTTTTTTATCATTCATCTTCAGAAAAATTTAACTGCTACAGAAAGTCTAGATCCGACGTAGCAATACTCCAATCCCAACAAAGAAGGCATTTTCTAGAACTCTTCAAGACCATATTCCAGGAAGCATATGAAGCACAGATTTGGCCAAATTTCAGATGCTATAGTTTCTTGTACTGCCCAAGTGATCAGGAATAACCAAAACATTTGAAATGCAAATTATGTTCAGAAACACACTTGAGGAGAAATCCCAGGGGTGTAAATATAGGAGGAAAAATTCAATGTGAAATGCATTCTGTATCATCCAGTAATATTTGCTACAGTGAGTCCATTTCCAAGAAGAATCCTACATTTTTACTGCTTGTAATGAAAACCTGGAAAGACAATGGGGAGGGAGGGGGGAAAAAAGAAAACACACTTAAGTGAAAATCTTTGAAACTCAGTTGTTTTGTCACTGCTTACGCTATATAGTTCAACTCTATTTCTATGTTTCACTCTTAACTATAAAGACTTCTATTTTAATAATATATTCAATTTCTGTCAAAGACAGGAAGGTATCTACCATGAAATGATGTATGCATAGTTCGAAAGTAAAACATAAGCTACTTCAACAACCAGAGGGGAACAAGTACTGGTTGAAGCCTTGGAATGGGAGACTTGGAAGAAATCTAGTGTGCCCCTTTGAAGGCCTGCTTCTGAAGACTGAATTTTAGTAGGGCTCAAGAGAGCAACACACATTTCAAAGCAGCCATGTTTGGCCACCATCTGTGAGCCAGACCCAACTCTTTGTGACTCAGTTAAAAAATATGATTGGAGTGCAACGCTCACGCCGCTCTAATTTCCTAAGGGGGCATTTAAGTTTCTAGTAATGTTTCACTGGTAATTTTTCCCACTCCAGATAGCATTTCTGGTTCAAATCATATTAAAAATGTGAGTCAATTCCATTTTTAACATCACTAGGCATAACTGAAAAGAACTGAATCAATTTGAAGCTCTTTTTTAACAGATGTAAAGAAAGTAACACTGTCCTTAGACAGATGTGGAAAAGTTAATCTTTTCTTTTTTGTCTTTGTACTAGTAATATGGCTTGTCTACCCTTCTCACTATATTTATGTTTCTTTTAATCTATTTTACATTTTTCCTTTTTTTATTAAACTAGTTTACAAATTTTTAATACAATGCTTCTCCCACCAGTTCCTTCCCATTTCCCTAACCCCCCACCCATCAAATTGTGCAACCCCATGATTAATTCCACACACACCCCCCTCACCCTCCCCCGCCTTAGATCCTCATTCTACAATAATGGGGTTTTTTTTTGGGGGGGGGTCTTTTCTTTTTTTTTTTTTTACTTTTTTACCATACAATAATGTTTTTATACAGTGTTTGTCCTTATGGGACTCAGTTTACTCAGCATAATGCTCTCTAGTCCCTCCCAAATTAGACAATAATTTACAAAATCATTGCACTTGTGTGCTTGCATAGTATTCCATTGTGTGAAGGTACCATAATTTCTCAATACATTCATTTGTGGTTGGACATCTGGGCTGTTTCCATGTTCTTGTCATGGTGAATAATGCTGCTATGAACACTGGTGTACAAGTCAGCATTTGTGACTCAGTTCTCATTTTCTCAGGATATATTCCAAGCAGTGGAATAGCTGGGTCATGGAATTTCTATGTTCAGCTCTTTGAGGAAGCACCAAACTGCCTTCCAGAATAGTTGTACCATTGTACAATCCCATCAATAATGTATGAAAGTTCCTATCTTGCCACATCCTGTCCAACATTTATTGCTTGTTGTCCTTTTAAACTTGCCACTGCTACTGGAGTGAAATAGTGTCTCATTGTGGGTTTGATTTGCATCTCCTCTTATTGCCATTGATTTTGAACATTTCTTCATGTATCTGTTGACCATCCAAATATCTTCCTCTGTGAAAGTTCTTAACATGTTTTTTTCCACTTTGTAATTGGACTATCAGTCTTTTTCTTGTGGAAGCCCAGGAGTATTCTATAAACTTTCATTATGAGATTCTTGTGTAAGCTGGTATTGCCAAATGTTTGTTCCCAGTTGGTAGGTTTTCTTTTCACCCTGTTGGAAAGAATTTTTGATGCACCCAGGGATTTAATCTTTAGAAGGTCCCATTCTTCAATTTTATCCTCTTCAGATCGTACATTTCTGGCTGTATTTGGCAGTCTCTTTATACCACAGACTAGGTCTTCTAAGCTTGATCCCAGTTTATCTCTTATGAATGTTATGGTTTGGGGCTTCACTCCCAGGTCTCTGATCCACCTTGAGTTGATTTTTGTGTCTGATGTGAGATGTGGCTCCTGTTTCAGCTTTCTGCAGGTAGCAGTCCAGTTTTGCCAGCACCATTTGTTGAAGAGTTGTCATTACCCCATTTGACAGGTTTTATTTCCATGTCAAATATCAGTTGACCATAGATAGCTGAGTCTGTTTCTGGGTTCAAATTCTGTTCCACTGGTCTATGTGCCTGCCATTGTACTAGTACCATGCTGTTTTGACAACCACTGCTGTATAGTAGGTTTTGAGGTCAGGGAGTGCTGTCACTTCATTTTTGTTTTTCAGAAGTATTTTGTTTATTCAGGGGGTCTCTTGCTTGTCTAAATAAACTTGACAATTTCCCTTTCAATCTCATTGAAAAATTAACTTGGTATCTGGATTGGGACTGTGTTAAACACATAGACTGCTTTGGGTTGGACTGTCATTTTTACAATACTGAGTCTTCCTATCCATGAACAGAGTATGTTTTTCCATTTCTTTAGGGGTTTTATTGTGTCTTGCAGAAATGCTCTGTGGTTTCCTCTGTATAGGTATTTTGTCTAAGCTGCCCAGCCGTCAGCTTGTCAGATGCCTACCCCTTCCTCTGTGCAGCCAGCCGGAACGAATGTCTGGCGGTTTTTTTCTTCCTCGATTACCTGGGGTAGATGGGAGGGGTCTCTAAGCTGCCCAGCCTTCAGCTTGTCAGATGCAACAACAGGTCTTTTGTATCTCTAGTTAGGTTTACTCCCAAGTATCTCAATTTGTAGCTGGCTACTGTAAATAGCATTGGTTTCTTGATGTCCTTTTCTGAGTTCTCTTTGTTACTACAGAGGAAACTCAGTGATTTTTGGATAATGATCTTATATCCTGCCACTCTACCAAATCCGCCTACTAGCTCTAACAGGTTTTTTGTTGAATCTTTGGGGTTTTCTGTGTATACTATTATATCATCTGCATATAGCAATAGTTTAACCATTTCATTGCTGATCTGGATGCCTTTTATTTCCTTCTCTTGGCATACAGCCCTAGCAAGCACTTCCAACACAATACTGAACAGAAGTGGTGCCAGTGGGCATCCTTGTCTGGTTCCTGCTTGCAAGATAAATGTTTTTAGTCTTTCTCCACTGAGAATGATGTTGGCTTCTATTTTATTTTTTAAGCTTTGTTTCTTATATAGTTCCTTGACTATATTAGGTGAATTTTTTTTTCTTGGTACCTTGCTGAAGTAGCTGAATATTTGACAGAGAAAAGATCTGGCTGAGGTGAACACATATACTACCCTTGTTTTTTTAAAAGAGAAATTAAATTGCTTACAGAGCTTCAAGATATAATTTTGCCATTCTTGTTCACTCCACTTTTAACAATTTGGGCTTTGCTTCAGTTTTGATTCCTTAGCCATGACTAAACCAAAACCAGGTAGAATTATTGGTTTGAAGCACCACTTCCAAGTAAATCAAGAGAGTGATGATGGCACCAACTAATAGAAAATGTGATGACTGAGCAGTTTTGGTGAACTATTCATAACATCAAATTAATTCTATGTTTAAAGTTAACATTGATGAATTCAGAATTATCAGTGGAGGGACACAAGAAGGAGATGAACTTCTTAAAAAATACTACTGCCTGTTGCCATCCAACCAGAGATTCTGATGTAAGTGGTTTGAGGTGACATTGCCTTAAAACTTTTTACTATAAGAAAGGAGTATTTCTAATGTTATAAGTTTATTAACAGAAATGGAAAAGTATCATAAAACATTTCAACTAAGGAATCTTCAAAATAGTTCAAATAACAATTACACTTCATCAATTGATACAATTTAGTCTCATTTCAATATGCAAACTGCTTTTATCTTACTTAATCCTCAGAATCCTGAAACTTATTATATGCATCATCTTTATTTTTTAAATTGGGAAATCAACACAAGAAACTACCTTTTCATTTTCTCATGTTATGACATAAGAAATTGGCTCTCCTTGGGAAAGCAAGCCTGAATGACTACTCCTTCCATATTATAGATTTCATCCAATCAGAGCCTCTAAATTTTTCTCAACTAATTTTCATTCTGTAGAAAAGTTTTATATGGTGTGCTTGTCTGTTTTATTCTAATTAACAGACTGATGAGTAAATGAACACAATAGCCAATAATAAAGAGGTGGCCCAATGTTCAATTTTTCAGGGTTGAGGATTATTTCTGTTTTTTGTAGGGTTGGTAGGTGTGTATATTTTCCTTTAAGTGTCTTATGACACCTGTGAACTCTGTACCAAGTAAAAAGCAAATGCACAGATAATCTTGCCTTTAAAGTGTTTTGGTTGGTTGATTTTTATTTTGGAGGGGAGCTGATTTTGTTGAGGGAAATAAAAAATAAGAATCTGTTGAAAGGAAAGATGATAATAATGTAAAGTGATCTTTTTTACTCTTTCCTCTCCTTTCCCAACTCCCTCAATTTATAGCTGAATAACAGAGGTGAAAGTACTAGGAAGGTATATTACCTGTTTATCTATAAAATCTTTTTATCTATCATCTTTTTTTTTCACTTTACAAAAATTTTGGTTCAGTTTAACAAAGAATTTGATATTTTTTTAAAACCACAGTATTAAGATTATAAAGATCATGAAACTTGGCTTTTATGACAAGATTCTTACCTTTATGAGAGGATTCTGATTTTGAGAAATGGCGTGTGGAATTATGCTGGTTTGTAAAATGAGAGTAATCCAAATCGTCATCCTCTGCCATGGCAGGGGGTGGAGGCCTAAAGGAAAAAATAGAGTTTAAAAAGACATTCTAAGAAATCCAAACTCAACTCACTGCCATCAAGTCAGAACCACTCATAGCTGATCCTCCAGCAGGTTTTCAGAGGCTGTAAATTGCACTGGAATTCCACCTCTCATTAGAACAAACTGTAAAAAACACATTTTGAAGAACTGTTCCTAAAAAGTCACCAGACCTCTCAACAATTATTTTACCTTGTTACACATTTGTTTTGACCTACATATTTCAGCAAAAGGATTCTTTTTTAAAAACGTAATATGTGCCAAGCATTGTGCTATGGGCTAGAGAAATGAGAATAAATAAAATAAATTTAAAAACTGGGAAAAAACCTCCAATGCTTTGTTTTCATAAATTTTTCCAAGAAAAAAATTAAGGAGGAAAGGAAAGGGTTGATAAAGAGAAATGTAATTTTTAAAAAAAAGTGGAAGCAGCAGCAAGAAAACAAGGGTAGGAATGTGAGGCAAGGAGAGAGAATTTAGGCCAACATAAAAATTTGTGAGTTAAGCTCTTTACCCACTAGGTGGCAGAGCCGACTTTTAGTGATAGGGCAATACTTCTGTGAGGTTTTTATGGAAAAAAACCCCATAAAAATCCAAAACACATTGGGAAAATGTTAATGAACTTTTTATTAATTCAATAATTTAATATATATTTATGCAAATATTTAGCATTTATGAAGATGAAAAACTAAACCTCTCAAGTGTATGATCTTTTGTAGTTGCTTCCCAAAGGTGTATTCACATTTAGTACTCAAGTGTGGGCCAGGTGAGGTTAAAGGAAGTATATGGTAGGATATTCTGTGTTATCATAAACACAACCGGGAATACACACATATTGTCAGGTGTGGAAAGCTGAGTATAATAAGCTGTGACATCAAAGAATATATGTTTTGCTTGCTCTAAAACAATTAAGTGTGTTTCAGTGGGCATTTAGTATGTAAAAGATTACAATGTCAACATAATATACATATTAAGAATATTCTAACACATATTTATGTGGTTTGAATTCATCAGCTGCTCTACTGGAGAAAGATGGGCAATCTCTTCACATTCAATTTATAGTTTAAAAATCTACTGAAGGGTCACCTATGAGCCAATTCCAGTAGTACGTAACAATAACCACACACACATACACACATATACACACCCACAACCCATCCCTAAAAGATTACAGCATGGGATGCAAACTTAACATACAAATTAAGAATATCCTAACATATGATATACTCAAAGTCCTCCAAGTCCAGAGGCAAGCTATTTCAGAAGTAAATGACACTCCTGCTTCCAAGTTTGTTTTAATCTATACCACTTAGAAGAACGTTTGACCAAAAACAGTTAAATAGCACTGGTCTGTTCATTTGCTGTACAGAGATAACTCGTGGTTGCTGTAATGCTAAACACTGTGACAGTGATGTGCCAAACGTGATAATGTTTACCCATAGTGGACAGTGTTTGGTAGAGCTCCTAGATTAAAACAAGTGTGGAAGGAGGAGTGGCATCCACTTCTGAAATAACTTGCCTCCAGAAACTGTATGAACGTGCAGAAACAATGAAAGTTAAAAAGGTGTTGAAGTCTTTCGTTCATAGGGTTGCTAAGAGTTGTCTACGACTCAACAGCACTTAACAACAACATATACATACATACAAATATACATACTCACAGACTACACGTTGGGCTCTATATACATTCTCTCACTTAACTTTCAAAACAAATCTACATGATTTCTATTGTAAGTTTATTTTACGGTTAGGTTAGATTATATGAAATAAGAGATCTGTTCAAATCCACACAGTTCCCAAGTGACAGAGCCAGAGTTCAAACTGCACAGGGAAACAGTGCAATTATCTTAACTATATATTCTCTTTTAAAAAGTGCCTTCTTTTTGTTTATTACTAGAAAATCTGAATCCAACAAAATATATACTAAAAAGATTGTGTATTCCCAGGGGGGTGAAATACACATGAGAGTCTATGGGTTTATTACTTTATAATGTTATCTGGGCAAGCATTTTAATGCATTTGTTATACAAATATAATTAACATGAACATAGCAAATAGTGTGGCTTCTTCTTTCCTTTTTAAATATTTACTACAAATCATTTTAAAGTTAATAAAAACAAATGGCTAAACAAGTTACTTCAAACCAGACCTTCTTGCCAATGTGTCAGTGCTGACTTGTGGTGGTCCTTCATCAGGTTTTGAAGGCTGTAAGTCTCAGAAAAGACTTTTAAGTGTAAGGGACCATACTGCCCATCTTTCTCTCTTGGAGCAGCTGGTGATTACAACTGGCAGACTTAACCACTTTTAATTGGTTTAAGTAAGCATCAAAGGATGCTATAGATTACACCCCAGAGCTCGTAAATACTAGAACTAGGGTAGTGAAGTTTAGTCCTTTACTCTTTCACTGGCTTTATTAGGGAATCAACCCCCGAAATACCAAAACTCTAATAAACGTGCTTCTTGGGCATGTGCAAGAAGGCTTTCTAATCAAACCTTTTACTAATTGAAGACGACAACATTTCTAAATGAATTCTGAAGAGTATTTGGAAGACATCAACATAAGGATATAATAATTTCAGCTCAAGAGAATACTCTAAGAATCAGTAACTCTAATACATAAAGAACCAGAAAGATAAAGAGTTGAGAAGGGTTAAAAAAGAAAGTTCCATGATTTCTGTTTTCCAACAACTCATCATATTGGCCAAAGATGTCCAAGTTGCAAAGAAAAGACACCAGTAAATTCTCTAAGATCTCCACATGATGAGTAAGAAATCAACCAGGAATGTCCTCAGTTTTCTCAGTGCTATTCTGGCTAGTGTTTGGTTGCGTAAAAAACAAAGTTGAACTTAATTTCTTCTAGAGGTCTTATTAAATGATTGTGTTGCAGTGGAAATGGTTGTTCCAAAATATCTAAAGATGGGGAAAAAAATCATCCTTAACCAATAGTTGTTTAGTAGCTTATTATGTAATTAGAATAAATTCTTACTGTCCTTGTGAAATAAAATGCATGTTTATGCTGATGAAATAGCCAATCAGACTTCAGAATTCAATTAGAAAGACACTTCTTCAAAAAGCCTTCCCACAAGACCTAGACTAGATTAGATGTTGACTCATGCTTTCATAGCACCCTGGACTTTTTCATCTACTGCATTTAACAGGATCATAATTATTGTTTGTATAATTTATAGTCAGATTATAAACTTTATGATCAGTTCATGCTAGGATACTGCTGTTTATCCAAGTTCTGAGTTTTTATAGAGTGCTCCATAAATACTTGATGAATGAGTCAGTAGAGATAGATTTCAAATTTGTAAAAATGCTTACCTAAACAAGATTTACAAAATTTTCTAAAAATAAAAAAAGATAAGTAAGTAGTATTACTAATATTCAGGGAGTTTCAGAAGCCTAGCAGTAAGAAACTGCACATCCAAACCCAAAGGCAGGTGGCTCGAATCCACCAGTTGCTCCACAGAAAAGACAGGCAATCTCCATTAGTGCAATTTAGAGACCCTGAAAACCTGATGGACAAACGAGCTGAGTCGATTCTGACTTAAAAGCCGTGAGTTGTTAGTTGCTGGACAATTCCACTGGTACAACAACATAGAAACTTAAAGATTTTTAATTACAAATGTTTAAAATTAATTTAGATTGGAAACTAGTTCTCTATTTCCTTAGAGTAGAAAGTACTATACTAAATGGAGAATTTAACTTCTGCACCATAAATGCTTTAAGATGGGCATGAGTGAGGATTTGCTTTCCCTCTAGAATATTTATACACTAAGTACACAGAACTTGCTGCAAATGAATCAACTTCCTGACCTGGGAAGCTCCATATTTCTCAATCCTTAAAATCCTCTCTCTGCAGATGACATGACTCGCTGTGAACAAAGGAACAGATTCTAACCAGAAAGAATAATGCTAAAATTATCTCTACTGGACAGCTACAATTTCATAAACTCTGACTTTGTATTAAGAAAATATTTCATAATAAAAACTGTATTCACTTTTATCATAATACACACTTTCTTCACTGGTATTAAAAAGACATGTATTCCTGGTAAGATAAAAAGCAAAACAAAACAGTAATTTTTTAAAATATAGGATCATTTCACTATTCATTCTTTCACTTTGCCAAATATTTTTAAGGGTATTCTTTCAATATGTCAAATATGTTAGTACAGGCTGGCATAAAGAATTCTGATGGCATAATCTGTCAAGAGTCACTGTGCTAACCAAAGGTCAAGTCTCTCTGGCAGTTCAATCTACTAGTTACTCTGTGGTTGAAAGATAGACAATGCCTTCCTAAACACCTTACAATCTGAAAATGAACAAAGAGTCAGTTATGAGCCAGTTATGGCTCTTTGGCAATGCATCTGAGTTTTATTATATTCTAGCAATGTGCTTGTGACTTCAGTTAGGACCCAGTCTGAAGGTCTAAAGAGCCTAAGAATGTGGAAGATTGCAAAATAATCCTAAAGATTATATGTATTCATTTGCTTTATAAAAAAGAAATGCAAACGATTTAAAACCAAAACAGGTAAATTGCTTATTTTATTTGGTCTGTAAAGATTTAAGAAATATAAAACTATGTGGTTCTAAAATGTGTTTTAAAAAAATGTCTGGCATCAACTTAACAAACAGCTCTGAGGAGTAACTGTAGCATAACGAGAGATTATACTGCTTTCTGCATTATACTTCTGTTTACCAGGCAAGCCAGATACAATTTTTTGAAGACTCTATCTCTGACTTCTGAAAATCCTTAACTTTACTATAGCATGACTTTTTAAGTCACTAAATAAATTAATAGTAAAGAATGCTCTGGTAGCCTAAGTGTGGGACATTAGTGGCAAAAAGAGGGTCTATAGTTTGAGATAAAATATAAATAACTAATAAATATCTTGTTAGTAATCTGAACTGAAATTCTAGGTTTTAACAATTACGTTTTGAAATTGTCAGATTTAATGTTACTTTTTCTTTTTTCTTCTTAGTATTGTCTAACTTCCTATTTTAATTGTTTTTTCTTTTGAAGGCAACTAAAAAAGGATGCATTTACTTGCCTAGAGATTTAAATACTGGCAACTTACCCTGGAAAGACAACAGGCCTTCTGTTACTATGGCTGAAGGCTGCTTGAAAGAAGTCAAAAAGTACATCTACCTCTTCTACAGCTATTTGTTCTTGTGGGATTTAGATGATCATAAATGGCTCAAGAAAATATCTGTCTAGAACACTGAGATGCACACACAAAAAAGGAATCTGAACAGGTGTGAATGACAGGTATACAAAAGTGTGAACATGAAACCTGTAGAAATGTGAAATTTAGAAATTACAGTAAAATTTAAAACTTGAAAAATCACTTAAAAAAGCAGTTTCTCTCCTTCCTTTTCTAAGTAGGGTGACCAAATCCATAAAGTTCAGATGTAGGACTTGTCCTAACAAAACAATACATCCTCCCCTATAAATCAGTAAAATTGTCATGTGTAAACTTAACTTAAAACTGAAAATAAAGTTTCAGAATAAACTTCCAAAACATGGTATCATGTCTTATGATTGCATATTTCCACATTTCTTCATAAATCAAACACACTTCTCAGTAAAGTTCCACACTCTCATTTCCAGGTGTCAGCTTACCGTGCTGGTCTGTCATTTTTAGATCGGTGAGCTTCATCACTCTCTTTTGACTTTGGGTGTGCTGACTTAGCTGTTTTGGGCTGGGGGCAGAAAAAAAGGAAATTAAATATATACAGAAATAGCAAAGATACAAAAAGAAAGTTTAGATTTGAAATATATATACATCATATACATTCTTTTTTTACCAATTTCTGACAGCTTACATTTAGTAATGAAAGAGATTTTTAACAGTTAGATGCTCCCCATGCAGCCAGATGGCAGGCTAATGTATGTGAACTTGCTCGCCCACAAAGCAGTGCCCAGATGGCTGTTATTAACTTAACAGTTGACCAGAATTGGTGGATTTCCGATAACTGTGAAATTTTAATTTATGCCCTCAAAGATACTTTTCAGTATCTTTCAAAATATCTCAAAGATATTTCTGACTTAACACTGATAAGGTTCAAGCCAGTATATCAAGTTTCAAGTTAACTGTTCCACAACAGAAAAATTACTAATACCAGTTCTAAATCTGGAAATAAACCCTGATACTTTGAAATGTGGTCTCATTTCTTACTTTCTTGCTTTGTAATTTTTAAAATGTCTACTTTTCCTGGTTGAAAAAACTGAGAATATGAGTACTTCTTGGACAATTAACTCATGCAATATGAAAACTTGAGAAGTATGCTACTAAAAAATATGTTTTTTAGGAAAAATCTTGAATTATTACGATGGTATAAGAAAAATAGCTAAACACACTTAAATAACTTGGAAAGTATATTTTAGCCTGCCTCTACAAGCCGGTCAATACCAGGGTCCAGCCAGCAGTGAGGAAAGAGTTCTGCCACATGTGAGCCACTTGGGAATCTGTGCTGCCTCAGCTGGTAGAGAGTGGAGCACCCTATGGGCTGCACTGTTCAGCTAGGAACTTTCCTTACTCAAGGATCTTACTCAAGGATCAACTGACCACTCAGACAGGAGGCTTTCATGTCTGGGGGAGCATTCCTGGGACTTTCCCAGCTCTCCACTGGCTTTGTCTGCTAAGGGAAAAAGAGCTCCTGAGATTCAGCTGCAGGAAAGAACACAGGTACATCTAGCACCAAGACTTGAGAAGAAAAGGGTCCTGAGCAACATTCCTGGGACTTTGCCAGCTCCCCTGAGTTTTTGTACACAGTAAGCACCGACCTACTGAGATTTGAAGAGGAAAGTGTTCCAGGAGAGGACAAAGGCAGAAACACTCAAATCTGTCAACTCCTTGGGGCAACAGCCCCTCCCATCAAACTACAGGACAGAGATAAAGAAGTGGGCCCACCACAGTTGGACAACAGAAGAAATCTCAGCTCCCTGTCTTTCCAAGGACAACCAAGGAGAAGCTTACCATAGAAAATGGAAACAGAACTAACCACAAGAGACTAGCAAGGAAGATTGCCACTAGGAAACGAAATCAGGGGTAACGCTTAGAATCTGCAACTCTACTAACACCTTCATAAAGTCAAGGAACTGACAGCTATCTACACAGAAACAACAGAATCTGCCTCACACATACCAAGAACTTCATGTAATATTAAGCAACAGGCAGGATCAAACATCATCAATAAACAAAACAAGCCTTTTCCTAAAGAAGGAGACCAGTGTGCAGACTCAATGACTACCCTTGAGACAGGAAGGCAGAAGAAATATACCAACATGGAGTTCCAACGACTGGTACTAAAGAAGTTATAAATGATCGAAGAAAGAGTTGAAACTTTAAGTAAAGAGGTACAGGAATTAAAGCAAACAATGTCTCACTGCAAAAAGAGATGGTACAATAAGCACAATACTAGAAACTTTAGAAAAGCATGGAAATACAACCCAGCAAATAAAGATCAAAACTTCAGAAATTTTCAACATGTTGGAGAATAGAAAAGATGGAAGTGACAGTCAGTAAGGTAGAAGAACGTAAATGATAATTAGCAGAAAGTAAAGCAGAGAAGCAGAAAGAAGGCAGAATGAAAATAAAGAAAATATTAGAATAATGTGGGATGACATCAAATGAAACAGCGTATGCATGACTGGAATTCCAGAACAGACAAAGAGTAAAACAGCAATGAGAAAATTGTAGAAGAGGAACTAGAAGAAAATTTTCCAGGCACCATAACAAAACAAAGAAACAGATATTCAAGAAGCTCAGTAAACATCAAACAGACTAAATTGCAAAATAAAAACATCAAGACAGTATAGTCAATTTATCCAAAATCAAAGACAATAATAGACTATTAAAAGCAGCATGAGAAAAACAGTCACCTACAAAGGAGAACCAATTAGGCTCAGCAGAAATTAAGCAAAGAAGAAGACAATGGAATGGTGTATACAGAAAGCTAGAAGAAAATTGCTGGCCTAGGATCCAAACTGAGGAATGCTGTCCATTATATATGAAGAAGGAATTAAGTCATCTGCATAAAAGCAGGAACTTAAGGAATTTGTGAAAACAACTTATACAAGAAATACTAAGGTAAGTCCTTTACACAGAGACAGCAGAGGAAACTGGGTAGACCAAAGTAAACAGTAAGTAACAACAGAAAAAGGAGTGCAGTAAAATAGCAAAAAAAAACGCAAACAAACCTGTCCTATCAATAAACTCACTAGATATGAATAGCTAAACACATGAATTAACAGAGTAGCAGAATGGATTAAAAAGCAAACCCCATCAATATGCTGCCTAGGAGAGATACAGTGTAAAAAGTGGGATACACAGTACTCCTTGAATTCAAAATAGCATTAATATTAATATTAATATTAATATTAATATTAATATCAATACAATGATTGACATACAGACCAATGGAATAGAATTGAGAACCCAGAAATTAACCTATCTACTTACAGTCAGTTGGTATTTGACAAGGAAACAAACTTCTCCAATGCAGAAATGACAAGTTCTTCAACAAATGGTGCTGGCAAAACTGGACATCCACTTGCAGAAAACTGACAGGATCCACATCTCAAACCATACAGAAAAATCAACTCCAGGTAGAACAGAGACCTAGAGCTAAAATCCTAAACCATAAGGATCATTAAGAGACAAAATGGAACCAAACATGGACTCCCTTGGCCTATGGAATAAATGTTGTTGTTATTGTTATGTGCCGTCAAGTCGTTTGCGACTCATAGCGACCCTATGCACAACAGCCCTAAACCCTGCTCTATCCTGTGCTAGTCACAGTCTCTGACACACCCATCCTGATTACCCCAGTCACTGAATCAATCCACCTCATAGAGGGTCTTCCCCTCCTGCGCTGTCCCTCCACTCTACCCAGCATGATGTCCCTCTCTAAAGACCTGTCTCTCCTTACAACATGTCCAAAGTATGTCAGGCGAAGCCCCAGAATCCTTGCCTCCAAAGAGTAGCCTGGTTTAACCCTCTCTAGGATGAATCTGTTTGTTTTCTTGGCAGTCCATTCAATACTCTTCTCCAGCACCACAGCTCAAAGGCATCAATTCTCCTTCTGTCCTCCCTAGTCATTATCCAACTAACTCTCTGATGCATAACAAGTGATTGCAAAAACCATGTCCTGTATCAGGCGCATCTTAGTCTCCAGAGAGACACCATTGCTCTTCAGCACTTTAGAGAGGTCATTAACAGCAGACTTTCCCATTGCAATACATTTTTTTTATTTCCTGGCTACTGGTGCCAAGTAAAACCAACAAGTGAGATTTTCTAAAAATTAAGCCCCTTTGCACTTCAAAGGCTTTTTCCAATAGGATTAAAAGACTACGAAAAAACATTTGCCAATTACATCTCAGAGAAGGGTCTCATAACTAAAATTTACAGAATACTACAGGGCCTCCACAAGAAAAAGATTGATAACCCAGTAACAAAATGGGCAATAGATATGAAAAGACTCTTTACAAAGGAAGACATTTGGATGGCAAACAGACACATGAAGAAAGGCTCAAAATCACTGGCAATCAGAAAGATGCAAAACAGAACAACCATCTCATCCCAGTAGCAGCAGCAAAGTTTAACTGGACAATAAGCAATAAATGTTGGAGAGGATGTCGAGACAACTGGAATTCTTACACACTGGTGGTGAAATTGTAAAATGGTACAACAATTACGAAAGGCACTTGCTGTTTCTTCAAAATCCTGAACATAGACATTGTATATGACTCATCTATTCTACCACTAGGAATATACCCCAAGGAAATCAGAACTGAGATATGAATAGTGACATGTACACCTATGAACATAGCAGCATTACTCACAATAGTAAGAAAATGAAATCTCCCAAATGCCCATCAGTAAATGAATGGACTGAGAAATTGTGGCACATTCACACACTATAATACTACACTGCATTAAGGAACAATGATTTTGTAAAATACTATAACCATGGGAGAATCTGAGAGCATTCAGCTGAGTAAAATAAATCAGTCTCATAAAGACAAACACTGTGTAAGACTGTTATTACAAAAACAGACGCAAGATGTATGCAAATGTCCAAAAGGGAAAGGCAAAAGGAAGAAGAGGATGGAAAAAGGAAAAGGAGAGACATCAGTAGGATAAGGGCTGAAATCAACGGGACAGAGGAACTACTGAAACCATCAACAAAACCAGGAGCTGGTTCTTAGAAAGGATTAATAGATAAACCACTGGCAAACTTAACAAAAGAAATGACACAAATAACTCAAATAAGATATGAAAGAGGTGACATCAAAAGCAATCAAAATTAGATAAATTTAATTTCAGAACCAGGAAATTTAAATTGCTAATATTGGAACATTATGAAAAGCTATGCTGTACGAGGAGGAATGTGACATCAGGATTGGTGGAAGATTCATCAACAACCTGCATTATGCAGACGACACAACTCTACTTGCTGAAACTGCGGAGGACCTGAAGTGCTTGCTGCAGCCTTCAATAAGGATTGAAGCTCAACATCAAGAAAACAAAGATTCTCACCCTTGGGACAATTGGCTGCATCAGTATGGATGGTGAATAGACTGAGATAGTTTACAGTTTTAGTGCTTGGCTCCACAGTCAATACTCTTGGTACCAGCAGCCAGGATATCAAGAGACGAATTGCATTAGGAAAGTCAGCTCTCAGTGACCTCTCCAGAGTACTGAAGAACAATGATGTCAGGCTGGAGACTAATGACTAGGGATGATAGAAAGAGTGGTGCCTTTGAGCTATACTGCTGGAGAAAAGTATTGAATATACCATGGACTACTAGGAGAACAAATAGGTTCGTCCTGGAGAGGATGAGACTAGGCTGCTCCTTGGAGACAAGGATTCTGAGGTTTCGTCTGGCATACTTTAGGCATGTTGCAAAGAGGGACCAGTCTTTGGAGAGGGACAATATGCTTGGGAGGCTGGAGGACAGTGCAAGAGAGGAAGACCCTCAATGAGATGGACTGTCTTAGTGACTAGGGTAATGGGGATAGGTGAGTCAGAGCCAATAAGGTTGGCACATGATAGAGCAGGTTTTAGAACTGTTATACATAGGGTTGCTATGAGTTGCAGGTGACGTGACAGCACATAACAACATAGGTAAATAAGACAAGAGAAGGAAATAAGAGACATCCAAAGGGGCAAAGAATAGAAATGACACTATACGCAGATGATGTGACAGTGTACACAGAATACCCACCCCAAAGACTCAAAAGTAAAAACTTTTAGACCTAGAGACCAATTTAGTAGTGGCAAGTTACAAGATCAACATATAAAAATCAACTGGATTTCTATACTAGAATTACAAATTAGAAAAACAGTATCATTTATACTAGCCAAACACAAGATGAAATACTTAAAAATATAATTAAAGATAAAAAGATCTTTATAAAGAAAACTATAAAACACTACTACAAGAAACAATAAGAGACCTAACTAAATGGAAAAAAATTCTCTGTTTTTGGATAATAAGTCAGAATACTGTGAAATCAAAAAACCTTATTTAAAGCAATCTACAGGTTCAACACAGACACCAAATTCATTCTTCAAAAAGATAGAAAAAAAAAGTAGTTTCCGGTTTCATTTTAAAAGGAAAGAGACCCAGAGTAAGCTAAAGGTTCTTCTAAAAAATGGGAGTCCTTTCACAACCTTATCGTAAAACCTACCACAGAGCAAAAGTAATCAAAACAGCATGGTACTGGTGCAATGAAAGACACAAAGAACAATGGAACAAGACTGAAAATCCAGAAATCAACCCATCTACCCATGGTCAACTGGTATTTGACAAGAAAAAATAGCCTCTTTAACAAATAATGCTGACAAAATTAGACATTTACCTGTACTAAAACAGGATCTGTATATTACATCATACACAAAAATCAAAGTAGATCAGAGACCTATGGTTAAACCTCAAATCATAAGGATCACAAGAGACAAAATAGAATGAAACTTAGAAGCCCTAGTCTATGGCATAAATATCTTTGCAAATATAACCAGAAATCTATCACCACAAGAGGATGGAATGGACAAATGAGACTTTGTAAAAAAATCAAGTCCCTATGTGCAAAAAAAAAAAACTTCCCAATAGGGTGAAATGAAAGTCCACAGACTAGCAAAAAAAAAACAAACAACAAACCATTTAGTAACAATTTTTAAGAGAAGAGTCTCATAACTAACATTTACAGAATACTACAGGGTCACCATAAGAAAAATACTGATAACTCAGTCGCAAAATAGGTAAAAGACATGAAAAGATTCTAGACATGAAAAGATTCTTCATGAAGGAGGAAATGAAGGATGGCCAACAAACACATGAGGAAATGTTTAAAATCACTAGTAATCAGAGGTGGATATAAACAGGTATCATCTTACCTCAGCACAATGTTTAACAACACAACAAAAAAGTTTGGAGAGGATTTGGAAGGATTGGAACACATGGACTGTTGATAGGACTATAAAATGGTACAACCACTAAGGAAAGTAGTATTGTGTTTTCTCAAAAAGCTGATTATAAAAATCTTATATAGCCAGTTATTCCAGTGCTAGGAATATAGCTGAAGGAAATTAGAACCGAGACATGAATAGAGATAGGGGAATATACCCTAAGGACATTTAGAACCGAGACACAAGTAGGGGTGTGTATAACCATATTCACAGCAGTGTTATTCATGATAAAAAAGAAAATGGAAACAGTCCAAATGCCCATCAGCAAATGAATGGGCTGAGAAACTGTGGTACATACACACAATGGAAGAAAATGCAGCACTAAGAAATAACAATTTTATAAAATACTATATATCCTGGAGAGGGTTAAACCGGGTGGCTCCTTGGAGGCAAGGATTCTGAGGCTCTGTCTAACATTCTTTGGACATGTTGTGAGGAGAGACCGGTCCTTGGAGAGGGACATGCTGGGGAGGGTGGAGGGACAGTGCAGAAGGGGAAGGCCCTCTATGAGGTGGATTGATTCAGTGACTGGGGTAATCGGGATGGGTCTATCTGAAACAGTGCAATTGGCACAGGACAGAGTAGAGTTTAGGGCTGTTGTATGTAGGGTCACTGAGTCACAAGCAACTCATTGGCACATAACAACAACAACAATAAATAACATGGGAGTCTAAAAACCTGTATTGTGAAAACAGGAGGACAATTGTGCAAAATGCATATAAATGTTCAAAAGAGGAAGGGAGAAGGGAAAATGGGAAAAGGAGGAAAATCCCTAGTATAGCAAAGGTTACTTAGTGGAGGGGGTTGTAATAAAGTAATAAGGAAGATGTACTGGAAATTAAAAAAGATTGTTTAAAACACAATGAACATGAATGAAATACATACATTGCATATGAATGCACATCTATATGAATGTATATGAAAGATTATATGCAAACCAGTTAAAAAAAATAATAATATTGAGATTAACAAATGTGTAAGTAAGTAATAGTAAATACAGAAATGCTATTAATAGTGTGAATGTGTGTGTGTTTGCTTTTTTACAATCACTACAGAAATCATGATACAGAATCAGAAATCCAATGATATTGTCCAAGGGAGATAACAGTTTTTAACACCTACTGTATTGGAATATACATCTTAGAACTATCCATCCAGGAAGTGTATTTATCTACTTTTTTCTTTCTTTTAAATGAGTAATGTAGACATATTGTCTCCACACTTTACTTGCACCCTTCTTCTCCTAGAGTAAACTTTTTAAAAAAGTCTTTAATCTATGAGTTCTCTCCCTCCTCCCCTTTTGGCTCTTTTTATTATTATTATTTTTTTAATACAACACATACATATTTTTACAGCATAGTCTTCCCATTTAATTTTTTCCCCCATTCACTCATTGTTGTATATTTCCCTCCCAGTTTATTTTTCTAGTTGAAAAAAAAATAAATTCTTTGTTATGCAATCCCCCCACCCCCAGCTCTTTGGCTTTTCTTTGCAACCCTTTCTCACATGCTGTGATTTCGTGTTTTTAAGCTTTCTGAGTCTGTTTAAGATTGTCTTCCTCTCTCCTATACACACTATTATTATTGTATTATTGCTCTCCGTTCAGAGCGGTGCTTTGAACAGTAACTGATGAGTAAAGTCTGTTAAATTGATTTTGAAATGACCACATAAAAAATCAGATGCAGCAAAATGAACTGTAGTGACAGTCTGTTCTATCAACTACTGGTTAAAAAAAGGAATGATGATAGTCAAATTCATGCTAGACAATTCTTACATTTTGACATAAGACGTGATGTCTAGTGATAGCTCTATCCATCAGTTTGTCATAAATTGTTACAGATGAAAAATAACCGGTTGGCACTTGATAAAATAAGCATACAGGGGAAGTACAGCAAGGGATATAAGGTTATAGCAAATTGAAAATACGTTGAATTACTACATTTTTCTGTACTGCAAATCTTAAAAGTAATGGTGTTACTTTCAAACTTAGCAGTCATTTTTACAAGTATAAATATTCATTCTTTTTCACAGAAAAACAATTTTTAATTCGGTCTTCACATATGTGTCACAGATCTTTTCATACCTTAAATATATTTGCTGCTGTGGAGCTTATGGAAAAGGAGTCTCTTTTCTATTTCCAATTTTATCACTAAGCTGAAAGAGAAAACACAGACACACACAGCCCCTACCTTCCAGTCAGTGTCATGCTTCCTTTTGTCCAAAGATGATTTCTCCCGTTCCTTGGCTTTCTTGTAAGCTTTTTTCTCCTCGGCCATCAGCAGTCGAGCAATCTCCTAAACAACAGCCAATCAAATCATTACCTGCTAAGCCGTGAGTAAAAAATTACTTCGAAATTTCACAAAAATTTCAGCTTAATAAACGTACGAACCAGCATGAACTCACCTCATCTTGGGCTACCTGAGCTGCTCTCAAGTCCTCCTGGGTAGCCTGGGGCATAGACAAAAGAAAGTTAACTACTTTTTTTTTTTTAAATTCTGTGGAAAAGTAAACTGGGATTGGAAACCAGATGCAATTAATATGTCTTAATTTAGTGTACTTCCATCAGCTCCAGCAAGTTCCATTTTACAAAACTCAAGTTCTTAGAGCATTAAAGTAAACAGATGTACGTGGATAGTCGTGTTGTTCAATTCAACAATTCTTCAATAAGTAAAACTGAGCACTCAATCTATTCCATCTTGATTTTTCTACCACTTATCCATGCTATCAATATTTCTACTTTAATTTCTAGGTTGCTTCAAGTAATTGACTTGAACTTTTATCTTAAAATGTTCTCACCAAAAGTTCTTCCTCTTGCAGTTTCCTGGCAATTTCGGCATCATACCACTCCTGATCTCTGTGGGTCGCTCGTGACGGAGTAGAGACAGCTTCTTTCATCCCTCTGGCTTTCATTCCTAGGGGAAAAAAACTTAATATAAGGCAACTGAGGTTGTTTTTTAAAAAGTTCTAAAATTTAAGATAGTTTTGCTTCACTACCTAACACCGACAATACTTGCTCCACTCCTGAATTATGATTGCAGTATAGGATGCACTTAAAATACTTCTCCTGTCACAAAGATACAATTCAGATAATCAACACCTTTAAATAAAATTACCTACCCGAATCTGCCTGGTATAACCTCCCCACTCATAGTTTCTTCAACAGCAAAAATCAAGCAAGAACTGCAAGTGAGGGCTTCATAAAAACCAAGAAGTGAAAAGAAGGGGGGAAAAAAAGAAAGTATTAAGTCACAGAAATAGAAAAAGTTTCAGAGCGTTGAGTTGTCAAGATTTGAGGAGACAAGAAAAATAAACAGACAGACAGGTCTTAGATAAAGAGCAGCAAGAGTGCTCCTTGGAGGTAAGGAGAGTGAAGCTTCATGTCATACTTTGGACATGTTGTTAGTAGAGGCTGTTCCCTGGAAAACACCATCATGCTTAGGGTGGAAAGTCAGCGAAGGAGAGGAAGACTCTCAACAAGACGGACTGGCACAATGACTGGTGCAATGGAATCAAGTGTATCAGAGATGATACGGGCAGTGCAGGCTAGGACATGGTTCAGATCTATTGTTGTTAGAGTGGCTGTAAGTCGTACTTGATTCGAAGGCACTTAACAACAATCACCTATATTTCATAACAGAAACAGAAACAACATCAATCTCTGAGTTATGTGATCTAGACACAGGTGAAGCAAAGAGCTTCAAACACAGAAAAGTGTTCTACTAACAGCTTAATAACCCCCTTTGTTCTACATTTATATCTAAGGTGTAAATGAGTGCTGTATACATATTTTAAATCTGAGTAAACTACCTTAAGTACTTTCAGTGGGCCATTCCATTTGTGGGTAGAACCATAGGAAAGTTTCTTTTGTTCTAAGGAGACTGTCTTTTAATCTAAAGTACTAAATACTTGTTTGTCTCAAAAAAGTATTAGAAAAGAAGAAAAAGAGGGAGGTTGAAGGGAGGGAAGAAGTCAGTAAAAGCCAGATCTGACTTAGCCAACAGGGCTTCCACTAGTCTTTGTCCGTCTGACAGAGATCCTGCCTTATTTCTGCACAGAGAAGTAATCTGCTTGCTTTACTACATTCCTAAGGCTTGAATCAGTTTCAGGCACTTGCTAAATGTCTTGGAGAACGCCTCGCCAGGGGAATCTTTAGAGGTGAAGCTGATGAAACTTTGTCTCTCATACTCTGGACACATGGTTAGGAGGTGCCACTCCTTAGAAAAGAATATCATGCTTAGAAGGGCAGCAAAAGAGAAGAATATCCTCCACGGGATGGACTGACAGAGTTAATCAACGCGCTGGAGTTTATCAGAGATTGTGAGTGCAGGGCAGCGTTCAGATCAATTGTTCACAGGGTCACTATGAGTCCTATCTGACTCAACAGTACCTAACAACATATTAAAACAAGTCTAAGGGACCCAAAGTACAACCTCGAGTATATCCAACCTGAACTTAATTAAAAGTGAACTCAAAGAATAGATTTGAGACACTGAACACTAATGACTGAAAACCAGTTGCATTGTAGGGTGTTATCCATGAAGAAAGCAAAAGATCAGTACAAAAAAAGGGGAAGAAGAATAGATCAAAATAGATGTCAGAACATACTGAAAATTGCACTAGAACAAAAAAAAGTCCAAAACAAGAGGAAGAAATGCCAAAGTAAAAGAGGTAAACATAAAATTCCAAAGGTCAACTCTGGAAGCCAAAGTAAAGTATCATACCAAAATGAGCAAAGAGAGAGAGACAGAAAACCAAAAAGGAAGAACACGCTATACATGTTTCAAGCTGAAAGAACTTTAGGACAAATTCCTGAGTTGCAACACTGAGAAAGTCTATGGGCAAAATCTTGCATGATGCATGAAACATCAGAAGAAGATGGAAAGAATACACAGTCACTGTACCAAAAAGAACTACTTGTCACAAAAATATCTCAGGAAGTACCTTATGATCAAGAATTATAGTACTAAAAGAATATAATCAAGCTGTACAGAAGGCACTGGTTAAAAAAAAATGAGGCCCCAGGAATGCCAGCTGAGGTTTTAACAAACAGAAGTGGATGTACTCACTTGGCAAAGACTAATGCCAAGAAATTTAGAAGATAGCTACCAGGCCTGATGACCAAAAGAGATCCGCATTTCTTCTCATTTCAGAAAGATACAGTAGAATGTGCAAATCATTAAACAATATTATTATCATGTGTAAATAATATTCTCCTGAAGACTATTTAAAAACAGCCAGAATAATATGACAGGGAACTGTCATAAACTAGATTCAAAAGAGGCTAAACAATAAGGAATAGCACAGCTGATATCAGATTAATTTTCCATGAAAGAAGATAATACCAGAAAGGTATTTAGTTATGTTATTGTTTATGTAAAAACACCTAATGTATAACACTGAGAATAACAGTAATCCTAAAACACTCAGTATGCTCTATATATAGGTGAAGATTTAACTGCCTAAATATAATATGGGAACACGGCATGGTTTTTAAGATCAGGAAAGCCGTGTATCAGGTTTGTAACCTTTCTAGTCACCTATTCAAAATGTGTGCTGAGCAAATCATTCCAGAAGTTGAACTCTATGAAAAAGAATTATGCAGATGACACAAACTTGCTTGCAGAAAGTGATATGAAGCATTTACTGAAGAATATCAAAGACTTCAATATGGATTATACCTCAACATCAAGAAAACAAAAATTCTCACCACTGGGCCAGAAGACAATATCATGATGGAGGAAGAAAAGTTTGAAGTTGTTCAATGATTGTATTTTACCTGGATCTACAACTGGAAGAACAGACACGAAATAAAAACAAAAATGCTACTGTGGGAAAATCTGTTTTAAAAAAAAAGACACTTGAAACTGCTAAAGAGTATTAATGTCTGTTTAAAGATATTACCCAAGCTTCATCCATACCATGGCATTTTCAATTGTTTCCTATGTATCTAAAAATTAGACAATGACTAAGGATAACAGAAGATGAATCACTGCCTTTGAAGTGTGGGTTGGAGTAGAATATTGACTATCCCATGGGCTGTCAAAAGAACAAGACTGTCTTGGAATATGTGCGACCAAGACACTCCTTAGAGGCAAGGATGGTAAAACTTTTTCTCACATTGTTTAGACATGTTGCCAAAGAGTCCTTGGAAAATGACATCATGTTGCAAAAGGTGAAGAGTCAAAGAAAGAGAAGATGATACTTAAGGAAATGGATTCACACAGTAACTACAACAATGGGCTCAAACACAGCAGGGATCACGAAGATGGTGCAGGATGGAGTAAGTTTAATGGTTAGTGTGAGTAATCATGCACTTAATGACACATAACAACAAAAATGAGTCATCCAAGAGACAATAGCGTAAGACTTCTATTGCTCTGGGGAGAGGGAACATGAGGAATTAGAGGGAAATTTTGCCTTAAATTATGAGCAGCATAACTTCTAAGCAAGTGGTGAATACTAATTTTGCCACTATATAATTCATTAATAACACTGTGAAATAAAGGTTTGTGTCCTTTTATAAACTGAAAATATCCTAGAGTAAATGAATTACTTTACAACCAGAAATTTTAAAACAATCATATTTTTTAGTCCTGTGAACATGCCTAGACTTGCAGAATTGTAAATTTTAGTGAATAGGCTAGTTAGGAGAGAAAGAACATTTACCCCTAGCTGTCCTATTTGTTTCAAATAAACAGTTTTGAAACATAGATGCATTTTAGAATCAGCTGTAGTTTAAGGGTAGTTTAATATATTAACTATTTGTCCTCACCTCAAAAAATGTTAATTTAAGTAGCCTGAGTGAGATCTGTTACATTGGGGTTGAGGGAAGACAGAGAAGAAGGGGAGGAATGATGTATACTGCATTGCAAGAGATGAGGGAGAGAACTGTTTAAAAGGGATATATGATTAGGTATTATTGTCATGACAGGAGTCCAGAATGAAGGCTGCATAGTGCAGTAGACTTATGGGGAGGGATTGCACAGCAATGAAAGAGTTTTTCTTTTACTCATCAAGGAGAAAAGTGAATTGAGGGGTAGGGAGTGGGCAAGGAGAAAAGTGCAACAATGAATGACTGGAAACCCTAAGTTTCTGTAAACTTTCATTAAAATTAATTTAAAAAATGGTCTTCCTAGTTCTTTCATATTTGTAGTTAAGGTTAGACTATAACTATAAGCACCAAAATTAAAAATGTTTTTCACTAGAAGCCTCACCATGTTTGATTCATTTGCTAGTTTGGGGTGGGGGGGGACACCTAAGTCCTAGGCAAACAAAGAATTTATCTTTGTGAAACCTATTTTTATATATCTTCCAACCCAGCTTTGCAGTATACCCTTTAGGGTCTTTAACCAAGATTCAAACATCTATATTTCCCACAAATAAAGGGTTTCCAGTCTGGCTTTTTTTACTTCAGGTCTGTGTGCACTTGACTGCCCAAAACATAAAAGTAGATCCTGTAGAAAACATGCATTATGTATGAGAATGCTAATCAAAAGGTCAGTGGGTTTAATCTTTAAAAAGATTTAGTCTCAGAAACCCAAAGAATGGTGACTAGGAGTACCAATCAACTTGACAGCAGTTGTTCAGTATCACTGAGTCAACTATGATTCCTAGCAAGCCTCTGAGGAATGGATCTAAACCTTCCCAATGCTGTGCCATCTCCATCACCCCTGACATACGTAAGACAATTGCTATAGTCACCGTGCTCATCCATCATCTTCTTGTTATCTTTCAAAATTCAACGTTTTGGTTTATTTTTTCCGCTCCAAGGACTGACCTCTCCTAACAACACAGAGCACATTTCCAACGCCTCTACAGCTATCAAAACACATGCTAGATGAGTTTTATCCCAGATTTATGAAAGGTTTGGGGAAATCAAGACAATAGAAGCATACTCCCAAAAGTGCATTATATCTTAATGAGTTATGATTAGAAACAGCAATACTAAAAAGGAAAATTTCAGGGAGAAGGTAAATTAGCATTAAGTGAGCTCAACAGATAATATGACATAACAGCCTAACTTATCTACAACAGAGGAAGCTCTGGTGGTGTAGTCCATAAGGAGTTGCACTGCGAATGCACTGCAGATGGGCAATCTCCTCTCTTGAAATTTATAACCTCTGAACATCCGCTGGAGGGTCAACTATGAGTTGGTTTCAATGCAACAGCAATTGATCTATAGCAAAAGCAAAAGTGGCATTCACTTCCTAAACCACATGCCTCTGGAAAGTCTATGAACTTGGAGAAAACGATAGTTATGGAAAGGCAATAGGTCTTTTGTTCATAAAGTAACTAAGAGTCGTTCTCAACTCGATGGTAATCAACAACAACATAGCAAAACCATGTTTCAACGAGTACTAAAAGATGATTTTGTATTTTATATGTAACTCCTTCATCTTTGTTATCCAGGCACTCAGCTTTAAAAAAACCAAACAATGTTCTCCACAATTATACTTATTCTTCTATGATAGAATTATTAGAGTAAATATTCTGCTTTAAATTCTATCAGAGAAAAATCATCCCATCTTGAGTTACTGAATGTGAGAACTGGCAAGATTCCCTTAAAGTGTACTCTGTACCAAAAATGATGGAAGATTTTATAAACATCTAAGAAAGAAAAGAGTTGGACAATGACCAAGGAGGATAGAAGGAGAATTGATGCCTTTGAGCTGTGGTGCTGGAGAACAGTATTGAGAGTACCATGAACTGCTAGGAAAACAACAGATTCATCCTGGAAAGGGTTAAACCGGGTGGCTCCTTGGAGGCAAGGATTCTGAGGCTCCGTCTAACATGCTATGGACATGTTGTAAGGAGGGACTGGTCCTTGGAGAAGGACATCATGCTTGGTAGGGTGGAGGGACAGCAAAGGAGGGGAAGGCCCTCTATGAGGTGGATTGATTCAGTGATTGGGGTAATCGGGATGGATGTGTCGGACACAGTGCGATTGGCACAGGACAGAGCAGAGTTTAGGGCTGTTGTACATAGCGTCGCTACGAGTTGCAAGTGACTCGACAGCACATAACAACAAGAAGAAAGAAATGCACTTAAAGCAGTGCAAGGCTGTCATTATAGAAAACAGAAGATCCTTTTTTAAAAAAGTTAACTGAAGGAAATCAATAGAATGGCTGTCTTCCTCTAGGTAACAGAAAAATCAGGGTGAACTATATTTTCAATCAACCAACATTCATTCATTAACTTAATTATGTCTTGCCTTTTACTAGTTTCATCATTCTCTAATTTAAGAACACAAAACTCCTCTAACAAATGCAAATACAAGTTTTACCTCTCAAATATAACTTAATGAATTGAAAATATACTTGATAGGAAATATTTATCCTAAATTTGAGAAAATAAAAAATTTAATAATTGATCAATTCTTTGATATTGTGAAAGAACACTATGTAATAAATGTGTGACCCCTTTTAGAAAATGTCAAGAGCATATTTAACTAACAATTCACAGCTGAAAAATGAAAGTGATTTATAGTTCCAAAAGGTTAGAAGTCAACCTGCAGAAAATGACAAGCTTCTGGGATTTTACAGTCCAAAAAAAGAAGTATTCTCAAAGGTGGTATGGTTTTATTACCCTGTAATAAATTACCCAATCTTATACTTAATTTAGTAATTTTACTTTGCATCCTTTTTTCAAATAAATCTATAAATTTTGTTCAGGAACCAGTTCTTTGTTGTCCTACTAATTTCTTCTTTTTTAAATTTTTTTTTTATTTGTGTGTACCGTCAAATCAAATCTGACTGGTACAAGAGGAGACTGTCCCTCCTCCTTCAGCAGAGCATCTTGTGGATTTGAACAGCACACCTCTGGGATTACAGTGCAGCTTCTTGCCACTAGGCCACCAGAGCTCGCCTAATTTCTTTTTTGAATTAAACAAATTTTGGTCTATGATAACCAACTTTAAGAACTTTTGCTTCTACATTAGCAGGAATCAATGCAGATAACTATTAATTATAAATAATTCTAGTTTCTGAATTATTCCAGGGAATCTTAAAATCAAACATGTATGATATTTACAACGGTAAAATTTAGACAGTCGGCTGAGTATAAAATGAAGGACTGAAAGTAGCTTTTATTATAATCGGAATAGTTCTTGTACTGACAAAATACAAGGGACAAAGATGTACCTGTGACCCCAATCTAGGATTTGTAAGTCTATGCTGCTTTGAAGCTTCTGCACCCTAAAGTATAACTAAAAGTCATAAAGATTAGCCATCTCGGATCACACTTATAAATTCACATTCACAGAATCAGAACACACAATCCAATGTGATGGCCAATCATTCCCCACATGTCCCGTCTCTTTCTATACCTGGATATAGTGAGAAAATATATATATTTGTATTTATATTTAGTCTATAAAAATATACACACACACATATATATAGTCAAGAGATAGATAGATAGATAGATAGATAGATAGATAGATAGATAGATAGATAGATGATAGATAGATAGATAGACAGATGATAGATAGATAGATAGATCCCTCCCTCCTCATAGATGTGATTAACCCCACTTCTACTCTCCATAGCTCTTTATTCATATCTTACCAACAGGACATATCTGATTCACAACTGTTTGCTTGCATAGCATTTATTTTGACTTTATGGTTAACCCTGTGGGGTTTAGATCTAGAGACAAAGTCTGAGGTAAAAAATAATAGAAGATACCTGGTCTGACATCTGGAACTGAATTTTCATTTTCTTTATAATCAAATCCTTTATTAAGAGATAAAGAGGTAGGAAAAAATAACTTATCCTCCCTGAATCTGTAACCTAGAAATGAATTTTCAGATTAGAAGCAGAGCCTGAATGGGTATAAAATAAAAAAAGGTGCCTTGTTCCTTCTTTACTATTAATCTTTCCACCTCTAAAATTTCAACAGAAATAAAAAAGGAACTGGTAAAAGAAATATGGTCTTAAATTAAGACCATTAATTACTAAAATACTGTCCATTTGCTGTACAGATTTAACTCATGGTTGCTGTGAAGCTGAACACTATGACACTGATGCATCAAATGCGGTAATGGTTACCCATGGTAGACAGTGTTTGGTGGACATCCCTGATTAAAACAAGCTTGGAAGTAGGAGTGGCATCCAAAACCTGAAATAGCTTGTGTCCGGAAACTCTATGAACGTGGAGAAATGATGAAAGTTATACAAGTGTTCAAGTCTTTCATTCATAGGGTCACTACGAGTCGTCTACAACTCGACGGCAATTAACAACAACACATAATATGATGCTAGGATTTTTAGTGCAATTAACACATGGGAAAAACATTACTATAGCAGTTGTCAGATAAGAGAGCATACCATTACTGTGAAAATTACAGACTTCAAAATTAAAGCACAGAGATGCTAAAATTTGACGCTTAACTCTTTATATTCACTTCATTCTTACAGAGGTACAAAGAACTTACCTGGTACTGGCACTTCAGAACACCAACTGTAGAGTTAAGAGTTTCAGAAAGAGTATAACCATTAACTTATGGAACCTTCAAAATTTAAAGTACACCGGGATCACCTCCCGATCACAAAAACGCCCAAATAGCCAGGCCCCAGTCCAGAGAGACTAATTCAAGTGAGACTCAAGTATGTATGGCTTCAGCAAACTGATTTTTATGAAAATCAACTGAAGCTTTGGAGTAATGTTCTCTTAAAGCATTGGTTATGTAATTCTCCATTTTATAGACAGGAAAAATGAAGTCACAAAAATCTAGTACTTTCAGTTCATTTGGCCTTTTGGCTAGGCAAACAGTATGAGACTTCGGTATTCACTGAAGTAAAATGAGCAATGCAAGTGCTCTGACAAGGTATAAGAGGCTCGGATTCTTCACAAAGAAGCCTTGGCACTATATAAGGTTAGGAAGGTTTTTTTCAAGGAGTTAGTATAGTCTCACAGAAGATAAGAAAGGAGACATACAAATGTTTTCCTTCTTCTTAAAGACCTGAGATTAACACTGTTTGTCACACTCGGTTCCAAGATTTATTTCAAAGTCATGAGCATAAAGTGAAGGAGAAAGGTTCCTTAAGACATTCACTGAATATATTTGTCAGTAAGAGGGCTTCCAGTAAGACTGTCCTTTATTACCTGTGTCTCTGAGGTGGAGCCGTTCCTTACTCTCTGAAAAGGGAGGAGTCCTTGGCCTGTGTCTCCTTTTTCTGTGCTCACCCAACCCCTGGTCCCTCCCAAGTAAAATTTCCTTGTTGTGAAGCTCAACCTTCTGTGAGAACTCAGGTGAAAGCTGGTCTTGGTATCGGTACCGTTTTTCAAACTTCTGAGTTCGCTGGCTATTGTTAGCCTCCCAGTCATCAGATTCAGTGGTCAGAAGCACATCTCCACTGATTCTGGGAAGTGGAGGTCTTTGAAGTCTCTTGTGACCACACTGTTTCCTTTTATGCTTCTCACTGTTCATCTGAGGATCATCCCTCATTTTGTCCCAGTGAGAAGGTGCCAGAGGTTGTTCTGGTAAACAGTGCTCTTGCAGGTCTTCCAAGTTATCCAGAGGTAATTTTGGCTTCTCCTCCCGCTGTTTCACAGGCTTGCCATCATTTCTGAGTCTAGAAGGCCTTGAGAATTCAGAACCCAATTCCCTGGCTCTTCTTGACCTTGGCTGGTCTGAGCAGAGATGATGTTGTCATTGTTGGAGAGAAGTAAAAAAAATAGAAATGCAGGTTAACTTAATGAGAGTAAGACCATACTACGTAGGTGAGAGACAAGGCCCGTTTTTAATAAATTACAGAGTAGGGGGGGGAAATTGCTTTTTCAAATTAACAAGTTTAGAAGAGATGAGCATCTTGGAATGGTCCATGCATGCATAATAGAGCCTTGATGCCAAGTCAAAAAGGGAAAAAAAAAGATTAAATTAAAGAGCATATATCTGAAAGAATTTGATTATGAATAGTTAGAATTGTAGAGTATTTTAATATTTGCCAATAATGGTGAACATTAAATTCTACTTATGAAATCATATTTGTACTTGTAATAGGGGAAAAGGGCACACTGATGGATAAATGTGAAGTTGTGCTGCCAACCCACAGGCAGCCAGTTTTCATCCACCAGCTGCTTCTTGGGAGAAAGAAGGGCAATCTCCTCCCATCTGACTTACTAACTCTGAAAATCCACTAAAGTGTCAGCTATGAGTAAGTTACAACTTGACAGTTCACAACAAAAACAATAATGAGAGAAAAGAGTTGAAGGTGTCTTCTAAAAACAAAATATATAACCCTAAAATTTAAGCTTTATAATTTCAGTCAGAAGCTTTCCAAATATTCTTATTGGAAGAAATGATACAGAATGCGCTAATTTCCATTTAGTTCAGAGGAGGAAAAATATCTCTGTGCTCTCCCTTAGGTAGTGAAGGTAAACACTCCCACTAAAGCCAAACAATAGCCCTTTATTACTACTCCAAATTCTCCCAATATACAGGGGAGGAAGTTAAAGAAAGCAGCAACCCTATGCCGCTCTTTAGATAACTCTGTTCCTAATCTTAATTAGGGAGTTCTGGTAGCTAAGAATTAAGGAATTGTACAGCCAACCCCAAGACAGGCCGTTTAAATCCACCAGGTGCTCCATGAGAGAAAGTTGTTTCATCAGCTCCCATGTGATTTCATGCCTTGCACATAATAATAATAGCAATCTTAGTTGAACTTTGGCAGAAGAAAAAAAAAAATTAAATGCCCATCAGAAAAAAAAATGGGGTTCTTACTTTTTCTTACATTTTTAAGAACTTCATGATGCTGTGTTCTTTATATAAAGACAGCTGCAGTATTTACCAACTATGCAAATGACAAAGTTTAAGCTTCAAAACCACCACAGATATGGGTACTTTTCTCAGGTCTCAATTAGTTCTACTATGAAAACAAAGGTAGCAAAACAATACACACTTGTCAAGAGTATATTTGTTTGAATTTTTTTTTTTAAAAACTAGGGAGCTCTGGTGGCCTAGTGGCAAGAAGCTGCACTGCAATCCCAAAGGCACTTGGTTCAAGGCCCCCAGTTGCTCCATGGGAGAAGGATAGGCAATCTCCTCCTGTGCCATGTCTCTGAAAATGCACTGTAGGGTCAGCTACGGGTCAGTTCCAACTCTATGATACAAAACAACATAACTATACTTAGGGGGAAAAGTTCTGAAATCCATGGAAAATTATTAAAATAGCTAGTTTATTTACATCCCCTACTAGAATGAATGAATCAATCAATCACTTGCTGATCTGTTTCTGAAAATAGCCACCATAATTTGATGAGATGTAGAGAACATAGAAGAGGACTATACAATTCGTTTTTCAATTTCTTTTCTATCTGATACTGTTACTCTGGCAAAGGAGCAAAGAAGGGGGAGAGGAGACACAAAAATTACATCACTTTTGCCACAAACAAAAAACTCAAAATGCTTCCTCTTGAGTTTTCTGAAGAAAGGTATTTACTATAATGATAACCTCTAAATGAAAACCTTTCTTCTAAGCAGTCTGTAGAAGGATTCGTTTTTACAATTTAAGGTTTTTTCATAAAAGACAAAGTAAACTAGAATAACTACTCTCCCTGATAAGATTATCTGCTCTTTTAACCAAACAACTATTTAAAGTATCTATTAACTGTTGAGAAAGAATCAACTAACTGTTGCTGTGAGTAAACATGACAGTGATGGGTTGCTTAAATAGAGGGTCACATCCAGGGAACAATGGCTTACAGTGTTACAGTGTTACCACCAATGTGCTCACAGAGAAGAGAGCTGCCTGAGTGCAGCACTCCTTTAAATGCAAGAGAAACAAGGAGGCTACTGTTTCCAACATGGATCTGTAAAACTATGATCCTTTTGCTTCTTTTCTAAAAAAATCCTTCAAACCAAATAACAATATAGACAATTTTAGGGAAATGTGCTCTGAAAATTCCAAGAACTCTCATATTGTTGACTAGGGAAAAAATACTTTTGCTAGTTCACCCATGAAACACAAAAAGACAGCAGTTGGGGAAATCTGTTTGACTCCTTTAATTTAACCATTTCAGATCAGAACAGAGACTCGTATGCTTCTTGAGATTAAGTTATTTGGCAAATATGATTAAATCCTCATAGCTTATACATATTTTTACGTGTGTGTCCACGCTTGTCTTTCAAAATGAATTCTTTTTGTTTAGATATACAAAATATCATACACACACAGTTGTAATAACTGTAGTAATTTATAGTTATTTTTCACCAAAATCACATTATTTGATTTCAACAGAAGTGTAAAGGATGTATTTTTAGAATTTATAGATTAAAAAATGAGTTGAGATTATAGTAGAAAGTTTCCTTAAAATTACATTTATCCTGTGGAAAGGATCAAATATAAACTCAAGCCTTATGATTTCACAGATCATGACTTAAAATATAAATACACACACATATGTGTGTGTATATATAATAAGTATATATCTGCAATATAAATAAGTGGCTTTGAAAGATAAACATGGCAGTCACAACAAATAGGCATGGAATTTCACAATTGATATAAATCCAGCAGATGTTTCAGACAACCCCAAATTTGTCAAAATTATATATAACCATTTTTAAAGTTTTATTAAAGAAGTAGAATAAAAGCTTAAAATAAGACAATTCTGTAATTTAAAACCATCATTATGTAAGCCAAAATCATATTAGACATAAAGAAAGTGAAGTACAATGAGAGAATAACCCTGATGTGTTGGGAAAGGATCACTGTAAAGAATATAATGATTTCTTTGTAAATATGAACTGAACTGCAATGTAGTTTCTGTAGAATTCAAGTTTGTCTAGCTCAAAAATGGCATAAAAGAGTGTATGTTTAGCAATATATAGTCTGTCACTAGTTATAAAGTTAAGACAAAAAGAATCTTGATTCTTATAGGCAAATCCTTAAGAAGCTCATTAAATCTGGTTCAAAATGTTTCCCTACAACTCTAAAAAAAAAGAGATAATTGTGTCATTCTTTATAACTACAAATTTCACAATTTGAAAAAATTAGAGAAATTGAATATTGAAAAAAATTTTTTTAAACTTAAAAGTGCCCCTGAAAAACTTCTGAATTTTTAACAGAAGAATTCTGGTCCTAAGAATATGAATCAGGTCGAGAGTATATTAGACAAAATAACCATGTTTGCTTCCCAGTCAGCAAGTTTATACAAGTGTTTAGTAGAGAAAGGAACATCAAAATTTATAAGTTCATAATACTTAATTGCTTGCTATCTTATCCAGTTAAAACAATGTTTTTCTTTTCAGAGACTATACCTCTAGAGGTGAATTAAAAGCAAAACACCAAACTACAATTCTAAGATTTCAATTAATCTTTGGATAAGCCCTTACTTTCTGGTTTCTAGCACTATAAAATAAGGCAATAATTTTTAAAAATGATGTTAATACATGATTTCATCAGAAGAACCATCACAGAGAAAATGGTGATCAAAACACGAGCATTTTACATGTGGTGGAAGAACACACCAAGCAACACAGAACACAGAATTAGGCTGCTTACCAAGGGAGCTGAGCTCTACTAAGTATGAACACTTTAGAACAATAATGGGACTGGACAAGAAAGATAATATTTGCATCATTTACATATGAATTCTTTCCACCTGACTCATAAAAAATAAACCTCTTACTTTTTTATAATAGAATTAGAGAAAAGTGATTAAGAATCAGTTTTTAAGAACCTTTGGAATCTTTGATCTTAAAATATTATTCATTTTGCAACTAAAAATTCCTCAAAAATACAAAACAAAAAAAAAACTTATTTAGATGTTTAAATAGAAGTTTCTTTCACTAATTCTAAACCCGCTTTTCAGTAAATACTGATACTGTTGTTGTTGACTCATAGAAACCTTATGAATGAAAGACCTGAACATTTGTATAACTTTCATCACTTCTCTACGTTCATAGTTTCCGGAGGCTAGCTATTTTGGAAGTGGATGTCACTCCTGTTTCACTGACACTAGGAACTATAAAAATTTATTTAACTGTAAGAGATCTTTGAAAAGGACTGAATAATACTCCTTTCCCAACACACTTGTGATATAGAGAATTAAAAAAAACACAACTTCCACCACCACACCAGCACCACACTGCAAAAGCAAGCGCTAGAGAAGCTGAACTTCAATACTATTTCTCTCTTTAGTTAAAATTATTCTATAGTGTAAGAGGAAAAAAGCATCAAAACCAAGGAATGAACAGGAAATCCTAAATTTAAGATTGCTTGTGATCCGCAGGCTAAATCATTGGCACTGGTTAAAGAAAAAAAGCACAGAAAAGAGTTTTGATTGTCTAATAATGCACAATGTACCTACTTTGTTTGTTACACTTACCTGCTTCTGAGTTTCCCAGACATCCTTGAGAAAACTCAAGTCTCAAGATTCATCTGCCATTTTGCCAGGATTTCAACCCAGTGGAAAAGGTTTGTTATGGTCAAAAAAGCATAGTCATTGCACAGCAACAAATCTCTTGTGCACTGTATTTTGACCAGAAGAGGAAATGGGCAGTGATTTCTCACTTAGAGATGGCAGATGACACACATTCAAACTGGTACAGTTTGGCCACCATCACTGAGTAAGACCCCACTGTTTCCTATTCTAGTCAAAATCCTATGCACAAGAGATGTTGGCTGCTTTGCAGAGTGTGTGATCCATCATCCATGACTGAACTATTTGAACCAGCTTGAAGGCTTGCATTTTACGTGCTTAGGATGGAATGTGGCATTCCAGGTGGCTACAGTACACAAGAACGCATGCCAAGTACTACAAAACTATATTTAAGTTTTAACAGCCAAAAAATGGTAGTCAGTCATCCAAGGAACAGAGGAATTCATTAGATTTTAAAAGAATGCAGCCATCAATTTAAGTAATTGTGAATGATAGGAGATTCTTCCCCAGGCATCTAAGGCCAATTTATGGACAAAAAGGGGTGCCCTGCAGTTGAGTTGAAGGATAGCCTTAAGTATGATATAGGCATTATTACCTCCATCTTCATAATAGTAACTCTCTCCATAAGTACTGATGCCAGATGATTCTGAAAAGTGTTTCTTTCGCCGTTTTTCTTCCTCTAACTCTTTTTCTTGCAAAATGCGAGCTATATCCTACAAATAAAGAGAGAGTATGAAAAGACATTACCATAAAATGAACAAACCCCAGACAGTGACCCTACAAGGTCAAAGGTCGACTGTAATGCTTTTATGGGCTCTATCACCTCTTACCAGACTTCCTGGAATAGTATGCTATCCAAATGCCACGGAGCCCTTGTAGCAGACGATGTAATGTACTGGGCTACCTCAAAGCACAGCAGGTCAAAGCCACCAGTTCCTCCAAGGTGAAAAGTTGTGCAGTCTCATCCCATAACAATTAACAGCCTAGAAAACCTAAGAGGAGTCTGAGTAGGAACCAACCTGAACGCAGTGGAGTTTTGGGTTTTTTAATGCACATGTCGCATGTGACTGCTCAGGAGCAGCATGACTGAAATAAGTGAAAATGGCCTATTTAAAAAAAATTAAGACAAATTAAATCTGAGGACATTCAAGGTCAGTACTTCCTAAAACTGATTATGTATCAGAATCATCTTGGGTATTGCGTAGTCTTCAGAGAATAGTATGTATGGGCCCTATCTCCAAGTTTAGTAAATTTGGCTGAGGAAAGGCTTGGAAACTACAAATAGAAGTACACTGTATTTGTATTTTAATATTTTTTTTAAAAAAAGAAAGCATAAGCGACTCTGATTTATTGTAGATAATTCCTTTTCAAAAAAAGAGAAAATGGCAGCAGATTAAGATCTGGATGCTTCACCCTCAAGCAAATTTTTAAACCGTTACTTTGTACAAGGAACTGTGTACACTGATGAATAACATTCTTTTTGACCCAAGGAAAACAAATAATTATAATAAGATTAATCAATAAATGTCACAATCCTACCTAAACCCCACTCCTCCAGTCAATTCCACTTCATGGCCACCTTGTACCAAGTTTCTGAGGCTGTAAATCTTTATGGAAGCAGAATATTTCAAGCCTCACTCTAGGAATGGCTGCTGGATTCAAACCAATGATCTCTCAGTTAGTAGGCCAACATACAGTGAACTATGTAATCAAGGCTACTTAAATGCCACCGTTGTTGTTGTATGCTACTGAGTCATTACTGACCCTCCACTGTTGTGCTGTTGTTGACTGCCGTCAAGTTGAGCATGACTCGTAGCAACCTGATGAACAAAAGATCTGAAGCCCTTCTATAACTATCATTGGTCCTCAAAGTTCTTAGAGTCTCCAGAGGCATGTTGTTTAGGAAGTGGATGCCACTCCTGCTTCCAAACACCCTCCACTTGAGTCAGCTAAAGTCACTAGACTCCTTAAGTGCCACAAAGAGATAAAATACCTAAATATATATATTATATAATTATATAATATATATATATATTATATAGATATTTTATAGAATATCTGCAGAAGCATAAATATTATTGCTTACATAAGGCAATGAATAAAATAAGTGTAATAATAAATATAAATAAAAGAATTAGTACATTCATACTATATGTGACCAAAGAACAGAATTATAAAGTAAAGTGGGGAGGGATAACAACATCAACAAAAGTATGAGCATAGTTAATTGGTCTTGATATAGTCCGCGTCAGTCAATAGTCTTATGGCAGTACAGGGTGTAGTGTGTTTTAGGTGAGGCAAGAAACTGTAAGAATAGGTCACCGGAGAGCCTTATAAACAATCTCAAGAAGGATGAAGAGGAAAAAAAAAAGATGAAGAATTATTGACAGTTTTCAGCTGCAGACAGGCAAGATAAATAAAGTGTTCTGAAGTCCCATAAAAGAGTATATACACTTTTGTGTTTAAGCACATTTCTGCAGAGAATAAGGTCCACAGCTATCAGTCACCAGTCTTAAATGCTCATACAAATATGGCAAATGGTCAAAGGGCAATATAAATTACACTTTTTCATGCTTATAAGAAAGCATGCAAATATTGCTTAGATGTTAATGAGTAAATATGAATTATTTCTATTTTTTCTCTCTCAATTTTTGAAAAATGTTCAAGTAAAGAAATTATTAAAAAAAAACTAATAGTTTGAAGAAAATTACTTAGTCTTAGTAGGCTTTCCAATTCAACTGCTTTACTATCTAAAGTTTTATTTCAATAAAATTTCTTGGTGTCTACTAGGTGCCAAGCCCTATGTCAGGTTCAGTATCTTCAGTGCCATATAAATGAATACATCAATACCCTCAGAAGAGAGACTAAAGATGGACAGAAGACTTGTTTCTACCAAATATCTACTAAAGTAGAGTTTTCCAAATATCAATACTTTTTTTCTTTTTTTTCACAGAATTAGGCGGGGGGGGGGGGAGATGTTCAAAGGCTTCTCTGCTTTTCAATCTTATAAAGAACCCACAATTTGCTAAGTGGTTTGCTGTACAAAACCCAAAAAATTTCCCCTGTTTATACCTGAGGTAAAAAGTATACGCAAAATCATTAGGCCCAGCAGAAATGCTAATTGTTTTCCTGCTGTGGAATTTAGTTGTAATGACTACACAGTAAAAAACCACAGCCACAGTGTGAAAAAGTGTAGAGTAACAAGGGGAATGCCTCTTCTGTTAGGCTTCAGGTGGTCAAGGAAGTACTTTTAATCCAGCAGAATAACAATAATGACGATCTTATTAATAATTACAATATTTTTATTAATGTCTCATTCATCTTAGCACCCAAATCTTTCCTCTTCTAAGCTATCAGTTCATTTTACAGTCAAGTTTTGTACAAGTAAGAAAATATTTGCTATGATTGAGGGAGGAAGAATCCAAATGAAAACTGATGAGAGTTTAGCTCAAGTTGGTTTCTCCTCCCTCTTTTCCATGCTGCTGTGCACCGAGTTCAATTAGGTGATTTCAACATCATTTCCTTCAAAACAAGCTAAAGATGGTAATTATTAGTCATAAACCTTGGACAGAGCTAACTAGCTTGCTTAGTCATTTTTTACATAAACAACCTTCATACTCCTCAGCTTCCTTCCTATTACAGACTGGTCTAGACTAGCATTTCTCAAGCTGTAAAATGTTCTCCAAGCAAATACAAAGTGTTCAATACAAAGCAGATCTCACGTCCAACTCTTCAAAATACACTTTAGCACATTAACAATACTGATGAAAGGGAAAAAAATCATCTCCCTATAATCCACAGTTTTCCAAATTTATTTGGTGAGAGAAGTCTCTTTTTCACATTAAAAGACTTAACATACAAACGTTGCAGCTGTTAGATGCCAGAGTCAATTTTCAATGCATAGCAAACTCATACGACAGACAAACTGTCCAATAGTATTTTCTAGGCTATAAACTTTATGGAGTGGAAGGAGAAGTGGCATCCACTTCCATAATAGCTTGCCTCCAGAAACCCTTTAAACCTGGAGAGAGGATGAAAGGCACCCAAGCGTCAAGGACGCTCCTTCATAGGGTCGCTATGAGTTGCCTGTGACTTGACGGCACTTAACAACAACAACAACAAACTTTATGGAAACATATCACCAAGTGATTTTGCTGGGTTAGTTCAAACGGTTCAACCACTGTGCCATCAGGGATCCTCTGCATAGCATCAGTGTTTTACAAATCACAATCTGGGAATAGGGAATGCTGAAATAATGCTTAAAATGTTCCAAAGTAAGTTTCAACTAATTTTTTATTAACCAAGTAGGTGTACTGTGATTTAATCTGCAGGAAAAGCCTTGTTTCATGAAACATTCCCTACTGGCTTAAAAACACTGATTCAAGAAGATCAAAGATCACAGCTTTCAATATGGATTACACATCTCAACACCAATAAAACAAAAGTCCTTACCACTTAGACAAACAGGCAACATCATGATAGATGGAGAAAAGATTAAAGTTATCAAAATTTCATTTTACTTGGATCCACAATCAGTATCCATGGTAGCAGCAATTAAGAAATCAAAAGACAAATTACATTAGGCATATCTGAGGTCAAGGACATCCTTAAAGTGTTAAAGAACAAAGGTGTCAATTTAAAACTAAGGTGGCAAACCATGGTATTTTTAATTGCTTTGCATGTATGCACAAATTGGACAATGGAAAGGAAGACAGTTATTTAAGATGCCATGGAATGCCAAAAGAACAAACAAGTCTGACTTAGAGGAAATGCACCAAGGGTGTTCTTAGAGGGAAAAATGTCTCATACTTTGTGGACATTGTCAGGAGGCTCCAGTCTTTGGGGAAAAAGATACATGCTGGGAAAGACAGAGGGTTAGCAAAAGAGAAGACTGTCAAAGATTTAGTCTGACTCAGCAACTGCAACAATGGCCTTGAGCGTGGTAGAGATCATGATGATAGTGCAGAAGAGGACAAGGTTTCTTAGATATGGAAAGGGTTAACATAAGCTTGAAAATGTTGTTGATTGCCATAGGGTCAAGCATGACTCAGTGACCTTAAGAACCAAAGGCCTGAAGCCTTTAACTATCATCATTTCTCCAAGTTCATAGTTTCCAGAGGCATGTGGTTTAGGAAGTAGATGCTTCCAAACTGGTCTTAAACTGGGAACTCCACCAAATACTGTCGACCATGGGCAGCCTTTATGGCATTTGACCCATAGTAATGCAAGGTTCAACTTCACAGCAAACCCAGATTACCTCAGTACAGCAAATTGACAGAAGACTGATGTACAATTTAGAAAGATGTTCCTCCAAAATAGTAACCCTCGGGCCCAATCAACATTTAAATATAACGGCCCTCCATGTATGTATGTATATGTATATGTACTTGTATATGTATATATGTATGTGTATATATATATAAACAAAAGATAAACAATAGGCCTGAAGTCTTTCTATAACTATCATCATTTCTCCAAGTTCATAGACTTTCTAGAAGCATGTGGTATAGGAAGGGGATGTTGCTCCTGCTTCCTAACCTTAATCTGAGAGCTCCACCAAGTACTGCCCATAATGGGTAGTCAATATGGTGTTTGACACACCTATGGCACAGCAACTCTAAGTTACTTCAGTAGAGCAAATAGATCACTGTCATTCATCTGGCAAGTTCCATCCGCTGACACCACTTGGGGATGAAAATAAAGCCACAAGAGCCCCAAGCATTTCATAGGTGTCCCTCCTCAAGATGTGAGACACCATCATATCATCCAGTATAAAAACCAATTCACAACACAATAGACATCAGCCTGCTGGCATAACCAAGCACTACGACATTTTTAAATACCAGCACGTCCAAATGCTGGTGGACTAAGAGCCAGAGACCTCCAATTCATCTGGCAAGTCCCATCTACGGACACTCACATGGGGACAAAAATAAAGCCACAAGAGCCCTGAGTATTCCCTATGTGTCCCTCCTTGAGACACGAGATGGCATCATACCATCCGGCATAAAACTCGATGCACAATACGATAACCATCAGCCTGCAGGCACAGCCTGGTATTTTTAAATACTGGCATGCCCAAATGCTGGCTGACTAATAGCCAGAGACCCCCAATTCATCTGGGGGTTACTGTCGAATTATTGTTAGAAGGGAAGAGAAAGGAAAACTATTACACTAAACTATTACAATCCTTTAAGAACTAGTACTCTCACTAGAAAAGTCAAGTTTATTGATTTGGGATGAACATTCTTTTAAGTGGTATGGCAGTGATTTTCACGGAAGTTAAGGCAGGTAAAATCCCAAAAGGACTACTTTGAGAGAGCACAAACGAAGAATAGAACCATTCGGTATCACTAGGAAAAAGAAAAATCTTTTTCTCATTCGAAGTCTGTCTCTCACACTCCCCTTTCTGAACATATATGAAGGAGCTTATTTTTTTAAATGTCTAAACACACATGAAATTTTACATAGCTAAAATGTGTGGCTATTTGAATTGATTCTCTAAATATTACCAATATGAAAACACTTCATGGTTGACTTACATAGTTTCAATATAAGCCAGTAAATAATCCTACCCTACACAGTTCATATTATAAATGGTTTTACATTGTTGGACTAGCATTATGAGATTTTCAGAATATATTTGGCTATTCTAACATTTACATAAAAAATGATATTCCATAAAATATTTTCATTTTTACATACTGGATTTGCATTCAAACATAGACATACATAGCTATAGGTATACACACATATATACACAATTAAGAGTTCTGTTTATGAATATGTGTCTTAGAAGAACTACAAAGTGTTCCATAGTGAGACTTTGTCTTATATACTCAGGACATTTTATCAGAAGAGGGCAATCACTAAAGAACATCATGCTTTGACTGTGTGTTGCTTTCCAGAGTCTGGCCCATAATCCAGTTAGGTGCTGAAAAGACTCACTACAACTCTTCTGACCCTCCCATTCTAGGGCTTCCACCTTTAATTCTTCCTACTCTAATTAGCACTGCAGCTCACTCAAATGTTAAAAATTTGAGCCTCTTTAGTTTCACTGTGCTGGCCATGACTGAACTGGTTATAAAAATGCAGTAAAATTTTATTGCTCCCCCCAAAAAGAGAGGGATGCTAATTCACTCATACAACTGCTTAACTGTACTAGTTCTCACACATACTGTTTACATACACACAATATTAATGCACCAAACAGGCCTTGGTACACAACTTGACAACACAAAATAACAGATAACATGCATTTGGCAAATAAAACATTTTTCAACAACAAATTTATTAATATAGATATAATTCTCTGAAAAATAACAAAACACTAGTCAGCTATAAGTCAGTTTTTCTATGATAAAAAACTATTTTGGCACAGTTGTTGCTGTTGTGAATCACTGAGTCAGAACTGGCCCATCGCTGACCTTTCAGCAGGGTTTCCCAGGCAGTAAATCACAGGAGAAAGAGACTGTCCATCTTCCTCCCACGGAATCGCTGGTGCATTTAAACCATGGACCTTTGGACTGGCTGTCCAGTTTCTTACCCCTGAGCCACAAGAGCTCGCTCTTGGCACAGTACTCATCTTCTAATAAAGAAGTATGACAAGCAAAATCTCTGAATGGAGTTTTTAAAGGTTAGTTAGTCTTACTAAACTTCACTAACTGATTTCTGATTCAACCTCTCTAATACACTGGGGAAGGCAAGATATTCCAGTTGGTCAAAAAGATGTGAAGGGCAAGCTAGCAGGAGACAAGTAAAGCAAGGAAACTGTTTGCAGACCACTCAAATCACACTACGTAGGAACATTTGACTTGTGTGTATTTATCCTTTCTAATTTTGTACAGAGCTCTGGTGGCCTAGTGGCAAGAAGCTGCGCTGCAGTCCCAAAGCCATGTGGTTCAAGGCCACCAGCTGTTCTGTGAGAGAAGGATGTGTAATCTCCTCCCATGTGATTACAACAATTCTGTAAATATTTTTTCTATAAATAAGGGGACAGGGTTTTCATAAGGGGAAGCTTATAGTGGCGAGGAAAACACTTCAAAAGTACAATTACTAAATTAATATCTACCAGAGGATTTGTATAATCACAACAAATCTTCAGAGTATGTACAATTTTCATGACTAACTCCATTTGGTTACTGTACATACCCTGAATGGTTTAAATAAGGTAATGTGTGACTAACTTCATTTGAGGGAGCTCTGGTGGCCTAACTGGTAGGAAGTTGTACTGCCAACTCAAAGGCAGGCAGTTCAAAACCACTCGATACTCCTCAGGAGAATGAGGTACGGTCTCTTACCATATGATTTACAGCCTTTGAAAACTCACTGAAAGGTCAGCTGACTCAGTTCTGACTTGATGAGAAGAGTTATTTGGAATCTTTGGTTTTATAAGATTAAAGTATATAACAAATGTAAAGAAGTTAAGATTCACTCCAAGGTCAGTCTAATAGCAAAGCCCACATGCTTTCCGCTTTGTTGTTGTTTGATGTTTAGTTGAAACCAACCCATAGCTAACCCTTCAGAGAGTTTTCAGAGGCAGTTAATCACACAGAAGGAGAATGCCCATCCTATTCCTGCGCAGCAGCTGGTGGATTTGAACTGGATGCCTTTAGGACTGCAGTGCAACCAACTTCTTACAACTAGACCACCAGAGCTCTCTATTTTCTCTTGTAGTACCACAGTATCTGTAAGTTAGAAGCATTCTGTCAAGAGATCTAAATTACAAACATGTCCCTGGCACCATATTATAGCTTTGGACCAGTCACTTAAGTCTTTCACAACTTATTTTTTTCCCCCAATTAAGCACGGCAATGCTTATTTTATATAATATTACCACAAGATTATTTACTAAAATTTTTTTAAAATTTCAGTTCTTCATGAATGGATGATTTTGGCATAAAATAAAATGTTTTGGTTTCTCTTTCTATCCTGTTCTTTCCCAGAAAGAGGGTGGGGGTGGGGGGATGAAAATCACAGAACACCAGTAGCATTTATGAGAAGCCAACCTCAACTACTCTGACATTTTTAACACAGTAGATTTCCTGTCGACAAAATAGAATCACTTCTTTCAGTTCCCAGTTGCATCCTCAAAGCTGACTTAACTACAAAGAAGAAACACATCCTGTGGTAAGAAAAAAACCCCCTGTTGATAACAGGAAGGATCAAAAATAATTCCTTAAACTCACATGCAGCTCTGACTATCAAATAATCATTGTTTGCTTCCTGAAGAAATAAGTAACACTCATCTGGTACCAAAAAGAGAAAGCTTATAGAAACAAGAGCGGCTCACAGTGAGAATAGCAGGTTGCACAGTCTAGTTTACTCATAACGCTGATGACATCTATTTAATAGGGTGATGACCTGTGTACTTTGCCCAGGACAATTTCAGTTATTCAGTTACCAGTTTCCTCTTTAATCCTTAACAATGCCTGTGTAAAAAAGAAGTCATACGGCCAATCTACTATTAAAAATGACACATTATTTTTACGCTTATAAGTAAGTCAGTGACAAAGAACAGGACAGGAAGTGTGAAAGAATGCAAACACAAAATAAACGAAAATGCACAGTGAAATTAAATTATTTGTAGGAAGTGCCATAAACAGAGTACAAAATAACAAGCAAACTACTGTTGCTAACTTCAATCATTTCCAGCCTTAAAAATAATTTGACTTAGTAATTCAGACTCAAATGTATTTGTTCTTTGAGCTAGCTTTATCTTGGGATGGGAGAGAGAAATAATCAAGAAAAGAGAGAGCACTGGGCAGCCTCTCACAATGACTCAACTCCTGCTCAGACTACACTCATGTCTGCTCTTTCAAAAGTTGTTAAAATGATCTATGGGCAGACAGCCACTTTATGTCAAATTATCCATTACCATCTCCTAAGACTTTTTAACACTTGCACAACTGATCAAGAGGCATTAAGACTGACCCATGAAGGGCAATGTTTCATCTGTTCCACACCAAGGAGTAGAATACTGCATCTTCTCAATTATGAATCCACATTGAATTCAAGAACAGATAAAGTTATTTGCTCTGGGGCTAAGCACATTTTCTTCTTGGAAGAAGGGCATTAAATTTTACCTCATCTTTCTTCTCCTGAATACGTCGTCTCTCTGCCTCAATTGTCAGCTTCTCCTGGATTTCCTGAGCAATTTCACAGTCCTGTTGTTCACTAAAAAACAAAGGGGAAAATAAAGAGAAAAAGGAATAATTATCCCTAAATAAGTAGCACCATTATATATTCATTAGGGGATAGTATGTATTTTTACCTCAACCCTCACACTCACACAGTGAGACAAAGTTGGTATCACATTTCAAAAACTGATTTAACCAAATCATTTCCCCAAGATTATAAAGAAAATAAGGGGCAGGCACTATAATGAAAAACATCAGATATTCCTATACCACGTCACATCACTTTAAGGAGGTCACTCTACAAAAAGAAGTTTTCTGCAGATTCTGCCAATGAAATTTAAAGTATGAGGTCAATGTCAACTAATTATTTATTTATATACACACATAAAATTTACAGAAAAAGTTCAAGAGTAAGGTCATTAAATGTCAATAATACTGTAGTTACCTAAAGGTCATATGAAGGTGAAAATCATATTTATAAGATTTTAATTATGTATGTTTTTAAATGGTTAGCATAAAAACTTTAAAATTACAGCTAAAATACATAACAGTGTAATTGTACATGCCCCAGGTTTGTTCCCACAGGAGAAGGCACTCAGGCTGATGTCAATATTCTAAATACCCTATCCACTCAGGATACCAAATGTTTGAATGCTTCTACCATAGTTTCTGTGGCATCTGTACAATCCACAATGATCTAAACAACACCTACTAAAGACTACATATTGTATTTAATAAAATAATTCCCATTCACTATGTTTTATAAAATTAATCACCACTGAACTATGCCACCATTATACTCTCTTACCACACAGGGGTTTTATTCTTGAAGTATACTTAAAGGCAAAAGGTCCCAAAATATACTCAAGTAATTTAACCATAGAATATAAATTTTTCAAATAAAAAAAAAACAAAAACTGTTGAATAGCCAACATAGAATCTGAAATCTAATAGTGAAAGGAGTTGGACAAGAGAGGACTCTCCTCTCCAGACACTCAGTCCTATCATGCCTCCCTCCCACGTCCCAAATCCTTACAGGTCTTTGTAGCGCTTCTGGAGCTGAGCCTGGGCTTTCAGATCTTCTTCTTGGAGTTGCTTAGCTACTTTGAGATCATGTTGGACCAAACGGTTTCGCTGAACATTTGAGGCTAAATGATGTTCAACTGGTGAGAAAGAATGAGATGTGAAAAGTTATCAATGCTTTGGCTTGTTAATGAACTTTGTAATAAACTTCATTATCTATCACTTTACATTATGTTATCAACAGTGCTGTATAATAAGCAGGTATTATTATATACCATAGAGTCTGAATTGATTGTCCATCTTTCTCCTGTGGTAGATTTGAACCACATGCCTTTAAATTGCCAACATAACTCCTTACCACTAAACTACCAGAGCTCACTAATAAGCAGTATAGGAATTATTATTTCCATTTTTTCACTAAGTGAAAAGAGGGTCAAATAGGTTAAATTATTTGACATATCAAAAAGTGACAGTGCCAGAATTTCTACACAATTATTCAGAAGGACAGTGCTCGATTACATGGTAACTATTTACCAACCAGTTTCTAATTCTTAATTTTATACTAACACATGAATTAATGATCCACAAATCAGAATTATTCATGTTAGTGGTGGATGTGGTGGCTGCTAGCTGTTTAATGAGTCAACCCTCAGTTCAAGAAACCAAAATGATATAGAGAAGGACTGTTGAGTGGGTTTTCTTAGCTGTAGCCTTCACAAAAGAAATTCACCAAGCTTTTCTTCCACAGTGTCCCTGGGCAGCTTCAAACTACCAACCTTCATATTGGCAGGTAATCAGAGACTACTTATGCCTTCCAGGCTTCTATTATGAATGGTAGATAATCTAATATGTACTTTCACATTCTACAGATGACTAGATTTTATTTCCATGATGTATCTCCATACATTCAAAAAAATCCACAGTGTGACCTGACCTAAATACTACTGTTGCCTGAAAAAAAAAAAAGTTCAAAAAATCAAAAAGATGTTCATGGCTCTATCTTAAAGGGAGGAACAGATCATTATGTCTGCCTTCTGCATATGCCATGTACGTCTACAAGGACAGTCTCTCTCTTATTATACTGAGGTAAGGAAAAGAGTCAATTTCCACTTTTTCCTCCATTAGAAGAACTAGCTATCTTCCAATCCCTGCTGTCTTACTTCAAAATATTCAGAACTTCACTCTTCACCAAGGTGTCATTTGCCTGCATAAAACCTTCATGATGAAGGTGGCTATGTTCTCTTTTAGCCTCACCCCAATAAGGCAGCCTCAAGCTACTACTAAAATGAGCCACTCAGTGAAGCAACATGACTAAGGAGGGTGATTACTCACTCTCTTGTTCCTGCAGGCTGTGGGCCAGGGTGTGGTCTTCCAGGACAGCAAAATCACGGCAGACTGCCAGGGTTGAGGGAAAAGCAGACAACAGCTCATAAGTAAGACTTCAACATACAAAGAATATTTCTTTTTGTTCAATTAAAAACAACAATTCTAATATTTCAAAAGATTAACTTTAAACTTTGCCATAAACAGAATAGTGGCTAGTCTTTATTCACAATGTTCCACTGGGACTGTTTCAGTGCCACACAAGCAGACAATGTCACAAGATAATGGTTGACTTTGATTCCTGACCTTTGCAGGGGATGGAAGGTTCAGATTTTCCAGTGCACTTCAATAAGAAAAGGGGAGATTTTTGTTGTTGATGTGTTAGGTGCTGTCAAGTCTGAGCCAACTCGTATTACAACCTTGCATATAATGGATGGAAACCCTGCCTGATCCTGCAACCATTCTCAGGAGTAATGCTTAAGCCCATTGTTGCAGTTAGTTTGTCAATCCATTCTGTTGAGCGTCTTTGCTGACTCCTCTACATTTTCAAGCATGATGTCCTCCGCCAAGAATTGGTCCTTGTTTTGGTGACATAATAAAAGAGCCAACAATGGTTTGCATCTTTCCCCTAAGAGATACTGTGTTCTAGCTCAAATAAAAGGAATTATAAGAAATCTAGTTTATGCTTCAGTCATCTGTTATTCAGAGATAATTTCTAACATAGTGTCTTCCTTCATTATCTCCTCTGGTAGAAGCAAATCTCTGCGTTCTTTAACGGTACCACATCGTCTGATATGTATTAGATTCAATGTGTCAGTTTTTCTCTAAAGCCAAAACTACCCCCCAATGAGTTACAAATGGAGAGTAAATGAGAACTCTGGCTGTAGATGAGGAGAACAAGGGTCTGCTCTGAACTCTGCCTCTTCTCAAAGACCTAGGAAGAGTATTTGTTTTCTAGGAAACAAAATGAGGGATGATGGTCTCCAAGTCTATTCTACCCCAAAATCCAATTAAAATTACTGCAGCTTAAAATACAAAAGACAGACCAAACAAAAGCATATATAAGGAAACAAAATATTACAGACAATTATCTTCAAATGTGCCATTCTGATCATTTGGTTTAAAGCCAGGTAGTTTAGAAAAAAAAGAACTCTGGTGGCTTAGTGGTTAAGGAGCTGCACTGCCAACCCAAAGGCAGGTGGTATGAATCTACCTGCTCCATGAGAGATGGATGGGCAGTCTCCTCCTGTGTGATTAATTGCTTCTGAACACCCACTGGAGGGTCAGCTATGAGTTGATTCTGACTTGATGGTATACAACAACAAAGTTTAGGGGATATGGTTATTTTCTCTTCCAAATATCTAGCTTAAATTCAAAACCAAACAATTCCAATCTATTGAATAAGTATGTATTATAAAAATTTAGACATGAATCAAAAACATAGCTAATTTGCAATTATTTGCTATGAATCAGAAAGCTGGACAATGACTAGAGATAATAGAAAGATAATTGATGCCTCTGAGTTGTGCTAGAGAAGAGTTTTGAATATACCATGGATTGCTAGGAGAACAAACATTCATCTTTGAGTGAAACCAGGCTGCTCCTTGGAGGCAAGGATTCTGAAATTCTGACATATTTTGGACATGCTGCAAGGAGGGACCAATCCTTGGAGAGGGACATCATGCTGAGAAGGTTGGAGGTACAGTGCAAGAGAGAAAGACCTTCGATGAGATGGATTGATTGAGTGACTGGGGTGATGGGGGTCAGGTGTGTCAGAGATGATGAAATGGTCTCATAATAGAGCACTGAGCTATTGTACATAAGGTCGCTATGAGTCAAAAGCAACTCGATGGCACATAACAACATTAATATTAATACTGACATTTTTCATCAAAATTTAATAAGGGAAATTGTACTACACTAATTCAAGTCTTTAAAGGTTCTACCCAACAAACAAGATTTCAACTGTGCTCCTGCTGGTGGTGTGGTAACAGGTATCACATCCGTTTACTCTGTTACTGTGACCTTGTCAATCCATCTTGTTGAGGGTCTTCCTCTCTTCTGCTGATCCCTCCACTTTTCCAAGCATTAAGTCCTTTTCCAGGGAATTCTTTTGTTAAGTAAAGCAAAATCTTAGAGGAAATTCTAATCCACCCAGTGGCTTATCTGGAGAAAAAAAAAATCTGACTATCTGCTCTCATAAATATTCCAACCTAGGAAATAGGAGAGTTTTACTCTGTACTGTAGAGTTGCTACACCTTTTTACTGACTCCATAGCAATGGCTGAGTCAACTTGATGGTACATAACAGTATTTTAGCAAGAACTCCTCCCTTCAGTCTCGTCAAAAATGAACACCTGTCATCCAATTATCCTTTAACAACCAAATCCAGTATCCTGTCCCAAGAAATAACATCATTTCCAAATAATCTTTCCAATTTAACTCTATAAGTAAAAGTGAAAAAAGAAGCCATACCCTTATTTTTTTTTTTAATCCAAAGGGGGCAATTCTCTCTTTAAAAACAAAAACAATACAAAAAAAAATAATTCTTATAACTCAATTTTTACAAGCTTCCACCACATAAAAATGCTTGGATTAATAATACCCTCACTAGAGCTATTTCTTTCAACTATTGCCACTTCTGTGTTGATGGAATTTTGTGAATTCTTCTGGTTTTGTGTAAATGCTATTAGCCGCAGATGGCATGTATACACGTTCACTGCTTTGAGAACAGGAATTAAGTTTGCTTTCTTTTGTTCTACACACATGAAAAATATCCTCTGTGAGAAAGATTTTGCAGAGATACTTTAAGAATATTTAGCAATTACTGGAATCATAACTGACATTTATACAGAACTTTCACATTTTTTCCTTTCACGTTTACTGTTTCTAACCACTTGAAAGTAGTTTTATCAACATCTTAATTGTATTCATGAAGGAACACTAAGTAAGGCTCATAGTCTAGTGAACTGGAAATCAAATCCAAACCTTCAAGTCCCAAGTACTTCTGTTAAAAATAAAAAACAAACAACAAAAAAAAAACCTCCTCAAGAAAATAGTATGTGTGCTCCAATGTGTGACAGAAAAGGGTGGCATTATTAAACACTTATGGCAAATGTGCATTAAAGGGAAAAGAAACCCGAAAACATAGACCCCCAAATTCATGGAGCTGAAACCAACTCAGAGCTGACTCTTCAGTGAATTTTCAGAAGCTGTAAATCACACAGGAGATAGATTTCTAGTGGATTTGAACCAGCAGAGACAGAGAGCTGCCACGTCTGGTTTAGCAACACAATTCCCTAATCACTAGGCAACCAGAGTTCCCTAAGGTGAATTATTTGTTCTTTGAAATGAAGGAAAAAAAGAAAACCTAGGGAAGGGTGATAATTTGTGTTAAAAAAGTAATTTACAAGCCCCCAAAGAGAGTAAGAAGTGACATACTATGTGTCATTACCTTTCACATATTCTTTGGGCATGTTTTAGGAAAGGCTTTTCCTTGGAGAAGAGTATCATGCTTAGGAAGGTGGAGGGATGGCAAACGAAGGGAAGACCCTCAACCAGGTGAACTGATTCAGTGACTGCAATGGGCTCACGAGGATCAGAGGCTGTGATGATGGCACCACATAGGATAGGGTCCCAATCTGTTGTTCATAGGGTCTTTATGAGTCATATTCAACTAGACAACACCTAACGACATAATCTCTCAACACTTCTTTAATCAGCCTGTGTTCACACTTGAAGAATAAGGGCAATAAAAAAATTCCCTTTACTTGCAGTGTTTCATAAGTGACAAACTGTATTCAAAGGCATTTTCCCATCTTATTTTTAGGAAAATCCTAGGTGGCTGTGAGAACTGAGGGAAATGCCAGTGAAAATATTCTCCTTAAGCAATCATTTTGAAAATCACTACCTAACTTGGGAGGGACAGGAGAACATTATGCTAAGTGAACTAATTCAGTCCCATAAGGACAAATACAGTATAATACCATTATTGTAGAAATAGAAAGATACTATTAAAACATGTATGAGGATCTGAGGGGTGAGGAGAGGAGGGGCAGAGGGGTGAGGAGAGGCAGGGCAGAAGAGGGGGGGGCGTAACCATAGGGTCACACATGATGGGTGCAGGAGAGGGGTAAGCAAAGGAAATGGGGAAGATCCAGTGTGAAAAATCAATGTGTACAAACTTTGCAAGTAAACAAGTATAAAATATTTGTTTAAAAAATATTCATTCTCAGACCTAACCACCTTCCACCTTCCCTGAATAATATAATAAGTTATCTTACCTTAGAGATAAGAGGGTATGAATGATTTTTACAATTATATCTTCTCAATTCAGCCAATTACTTGAATGGTACTGACTGATTCACTGCTTTCCTAGTATTACAGATGTGGATTATCAGAAAGGATTTAAGTCATTGTCTAAATTAGCATGATTCTACCCAATCAATCAAGACTCCTCTTAAGTATTTCAGATACAGAAAGTTTACTTCTCAACAGGCTCTTTTCCAGTACCTACAGGTTTGTCTTCAGAGGATCTATTTTTATCATCTACTGGGGTTAGTTTCAGCATCAAGGTTCATAGTTTTAATATTCCCTATACAAAACACTGTATATAGGGAGCAGTGGTGGCCTAGTGGCAAGAAACTGTGCTGTAATACTGAAGGCACACAGTTTGAATCTTCCAGATGCTCCTTGGGAGAAGGATGGGCCATCTCCTCGCATGAGACTAATTGCCTGTGAAAGCCCACTAAAAGGTCAGCTGTGGGTCGGTTCCCACTCAACAGTACACAATAACAACACAGAACAGTGGTGGTATGGTGAGTTATATGCTGATTGTTCATTAATATTTATAGCCTTGGAAATTTAATGGATGGTACCATGTATTGAAGCTGACTCCACAGCAGTGAGCCAAGAAGATATACGGGTGTTTTATATAACCAGAGCCACTCTGAAGTCTGTTGCTTGGTATACTCTTAAAAGATCATCTATGTACCACATCATATGGATTAATGCAGAAGAGAAGTCCTGAAGTTATTTTTGTTATGTGAGTAGAGCTCATGGTTGATCTTATGTGTTTCTCTACATTATACAGTCTATTCTTGAAACACAGACATAAGAACTTGATATAGAAAATACTATTAAGGAAAAGCATCAAAATTCCAATATTAAGCATATATTCTATAATTACATTACAAGTTATATTTCTTTTTAAACATTTGTACACCGTCTAATATGTCTACTATAAAGGAGAATTTTATTTACAATCCCTACCTAACTACTGCTCTGGTTGCCCAGTAGGTAGACAGCTGCACTACCCACCCAAAGGCCGGTGGTTCAAATCACCAACTACTCCTTAGAAAGAAAATGGGCCATCCTCCTGTAAAATTTAGTCTCCAATAGCCCCCTGGAGGGGTCAGCTATAAGTTAGTTCTGACTCCATGGCAATGAGTTGTTATTTGTTATGAAAAATTTGAGTTGTAGCACAATGCTTTATTATGTTATTTTTCAAAGCTGCTTAATAAAAGGCTATAAAATGATGCTGCTTTTTTTTAAGGAAGTTGTTAAGAAGGAAAAAAAGTGATCCAAGTGTGTACATAAAACCCACCACTGTTTAGCTAATCTGACTCCTAGAACCGTCCATCAGGTTATAAGGTTTTCTAGGAAGGGAGGACTGTCTATCTTTCTCCAGTGGAGAGCCCAATAGATTCAAACAGCTGACCTTTTGATAAATTCTTGTGTACTGCTGAGTTGGAACTGACCTACAGCTAAACCTCCATAGGGTTTTGAGAGGCAGTTTCATCACACAGGAAGAGAATACCCATCCTTCTTCCATGGAGCAGCTGGTGGGTTTGAACCACGTACCTTTGGGATAGCAGCACAGGCACTACAACACAGGATTCCTTTTAAAACTCTATACAAATTCAGAAAGAAATAATAAGGACCCAAATGTATAATTGATTTTCTTGCATCACAAAGCAAGAAGGGAAATATGAAACACTGTTGCATACTCATTATCAGAAAGGAAAACTAATACCACTTCTGCACGGCAAAGAATCATTTTATCTGGTAGCAAATATTAAATTCAGTTACCATACAGTAACTACAAAAGGAAGAATTAAACTTGGTGATGTCATCAACAGCTTTACAAAGAAGGGTGTGAATCTTAAACATACACACACACACTTCCAATAAACACAAGTATGAGTTGAACAGATCAGATCATCAGTGAAGCTGAGCTTTATGAGGAGGAATGTGGCATCAGGATTGGAGGAAGACTCATCAACAACCTATATTACGCAGATAACACAAACTTGCTTGGGGAAACTGAGGAGGACCTGAACTGCTTGCTGCAGGGGTAAGGACTGTAGTTTTCAATATGGATTGAAGCTCAATTTCAAGAAGACAAAGATACCACTGGGCCAGCATCATGATGGATGGAGAAAAGATTGAGGCTGTTAACAGTTACAGCTTGCTTGGCTCCACAATCAACACTTCTGGCACCAGCAGTCAGGAAATCAAAAGACTAATTTAATTAGTTAGGTAAATCTGCTGTCAGGAAACTTTCCACAGTACTGAAAAGCAATGATATCAGTCTAGAGACTAAGTGCACCTGATCCTGTCAGTCCATGGTCTTCGCAATTACTTGCTATGTATCAGAGAGCTGGACAATGACTAAGGATGACAAAGAATTGATGCCTTCATGTTGTGGTGCTGGAGAAGACTCTTGAACATACTATGTACTGCTAAGAAAACAAATAGGTCTGGCCTTGGGAGGGTGAAACCAAGTTTCTTTCCCCTTGGAGGCTAGAGTTTTGAAGCCCCGTCTTACATACTCTGGGCACGTGGTCAGGAGGGACCAGTCCTTGGAGAAGGGCATCATGCTTTGAAGGGTGGAGGGATAGCACAGGAGAGGAAGATCCCAGAATGGATACAGTAACTATGGCAATGGGGGTAGGTTTATGAGGGTCAGTGAGACTGGCTCAGGACAGGGCAGGCTTCAGAGCTGCTGTACTATAGGGTTGCTATGAGTTGTAGGTGACTTGATGGCACAAAACAACAACAACAGGAGTAAAGAGAGATATTTATCAAAGTTAAATAATTAATTTTATCTATTTCATTCTCATGCAATTTATCAAAGTAGATTCATGAGTTTTGGGATTGTTTAAATCCACTAAACTCAGAGTTAACTGAAAACCTCAGTGACCCAAACCACTTGTTTGGCAAGCAGACATATTATAGATAACCACAGACATGCCAGATGGCCGGCAAGTGGGTTTTAAAAATGCTGAGATGTTATAAGTCTTCAAATCAGAAGTACTACTTTAATATCACAAGTCATCTACATCATTATCAGAGACCACAGAGTAACTGGGTAACTTATTGGAAAAGAGAAAATGGCTGAGTCAGAAATTTCCATCTGACAGGGTAAACAACTGAGGTCTTAGGAACACTGGAAAAAGGTAGAACGTGGAGGTTGAAGGTTGGAAAAAGCAATCTTTACTAAGGCTGGTAGAACTGTCAGACAAAGAATTTCCGCAAGGACATCTTTTACCCAAGTTACTATAAATGGTAAAAAAAGGGAGGAAAATACCCACTAACACCAACACAAACATCCTTTGCTGCTGGCACCAACTTTACACACTGATGGCTCTGAAACCAAATCCTTACTAAGATAGCAGTAACAAAACAAAAATTACACAAAAATATTTACAACTCTGGCCTTGTCCTCAGAAAATAAGGCATTAGCAGGCATTAGCTCAAATCACTATGAGTGAGCTTTATCTCCTACTAAAGATGTTCCATAATCTCAAACTGAGCTTAACTAGGAGGTCAGAAAGTATAACCTTCCATCAAATTGAAGCTTGAGTTCTGCTTTAATGTGGTCCTTGCCCATCCTTCTCCCATGGAGAAGCTAGTGGAGTCAAACCATGTGCCTTCAAAGTGGCAGGGCAGCTCCTTACGACTAGGTCACCAATTGTTCAAACACTAGATGCTACTATGAAGGTTTTTAGATCTGATTTAAGTCAAATTACCTTGTGTCAGCCAATCAAGTTGGTTTATTTTAAGAGCAAAAACTGGAGTATCCCAAGGGAAGGATTTGCCTCGAAACTAGCAGAGCTATTCTCCAGGAATTACAACCCACTTCCTAACCTATGTATTTCATACACAAAACTTGGATTTCAAGACCCTATAATCCAGTGAGACAATTCCTTAAGGTCCATTTATCGTGTATGTATACTTACATACATACACACAAACATTTTGTTGTATAGAGGCATATATATATACACACATATACACACACACAATAAAACTTATAAAAGCCAGGAACCTGTCAGAAAAATAATCAAATACTGTGCATGAACAGAATAGCAATAAACTGTACCCTCTCAAAAGAAGAAATTTTTGATATTTTAATAAAATTTATCGAGAACTTGGATTTCCATTCATTCACTGTTGTTTGTACCTTTTCCTC